ATGTTTGCAATACTTTTTAGAACAGAACACTTTGACAAATCCCTTCCCTGTATGCCTAGTATTATATGCTGTGAATTGATTCACATGTGAGGAGAGATGTCACAATTTAGAGGGTTAGTTCAATCCTTTTTTCTTTAGACATCTAATTTTAACTAAATGTCCCCGTACCCAGTTTTTTTTGTTTGTTTTTTTACTGCAATAACACTTGTATCCAGCATTGCATCCAGCACTAGACCAAGACCTCTTCCTGTTTGTGTCTGTGTCCACGGTCCAATCAAATGCTTCTAATAGAGAAGGTGTTCACGTTCATCAGCACTGAGATGAGCTGATTGGCAACTTATCTCACTGCTAAAGTCTGTACTCGTCCAAAGTCGCTAAGAAGGGAAAGGAAGGGTGTGTAGAGGGCAGAGGGGGTGAACAAATGGCTGGCTGGGGGAAGGTGGGCTTTTATTTGCAAATCAAACCAAAGACTGGGCACAGATATAATGTCCAGGGAAGATATTTTGGAGAGAAATAGGCAACAGAGCTTCTTCTTGCAGGCATGTTCATAATGTACCTTAAAGTGAAGAATCGAATTATATCCATTGCCAGCAATCTGACGACTGATTTTTATTTATTTTTTTGTTATTGTTGCACAGAGTTAACATTTACAGAGTTTCAGGCTGACTAAGTCACATGTGCAAGAGGTGTAATTATGCCCTGTACAAAATGACAGATATCTAGGTCAAAACACTGACAGAAACTCTGCACACACAAATTGCTACCACCATTATTATTATTATTATTTTTAGCATTTATATAGCGCTTATATAGCGCTGCCTTATTCCACAGCACTTTACAAAATTATAAATAATGGTAATTATAAAAGCAGAAGTGGTCATGTTGGTTGGAGTAACCCTCTAATTTAGTTTTTTCTTTGTGAAATCTACATATTTACTAGCACAAAGTATGGCAGGTGCACCATACGCCATGCATACTCAGTGCAGGCCTTTGTTGTTTTAACATGCTTTATGATGTTTTAATTCAGCTCTGTGTATTGTAAAGCTTGTTGAGGATGACAGGTAGGTTAGAAAGATGGCTAGAATTGTGGTGAATGGACTTCTTAGCACATGGTTGAGTGAACACAGATTTCTGGGGCTTTATTCATGCCTGTCCTTTATAGAAGTGTATTGTGCCTTGCAAATTCTAATTACGGAGCTGTTGCATTTCCCTCATTTGAACTCTCTGCAGTTGGCAGATTCCAGATTCAAATAAAGAGATACAAGCAAATTTCCATGAGCCACTCTGTATAAACAGGCGGATGCACTTAGGGACATAAAATACTTTACATATAAGCAGCAATATCCCTTTCAGATAAGAAGCCTTGGAGATAAGCAATTCAGCAAGTAGTATTATAGCTTGCAATTTACGAGGATGCAAGGAACACGACTTGTGAAAATATACTTTTAATCAATGCTAGGTCACAGTAAAATAACAGTATGGTATATTCCATAGGTGACTCCATATTTATAGTAATCGATAGTGATTTGCCATGAATTACTATCGATTACTACAGATTTGACCCGGACTTGTCTTAGTGATTTTGTTCTTAAGATTGCCCCTCAAAGAGTTCTTTTTCTGGATTAAATAGAAATCCAGGTTATTTTTTCTTCAAATTTCAGTAAGGAGATTCCTTCTGTAAAAGGACCTTTTACAAGTTTTGTTTGTCTCATAAATATTTCTATTTAAACAATAATAAAATAAAAATACAGAAATTGATTCTACTCACCTTATTTTCCTTGAAAATCCTGTTCTTCCTTATTTGATCCTGTATCCATATGAAAGGTAAAACTTTTTTTTTTTAATGTTATGTTAATTTAAACATCCACCTTATTAACTTGCCATTGTACTGTAGCACATTTCAGATATATAACAGATGTCAACAAGAGGCTGATTGTGAACTTGGGGAACTGGGTCATGGACCAATTGGTTAGGCTCTTGTGGTACTGGCTAGATTTAAGCAGCCAGTGACTGGTCAACTTTATGGGGCCAGCTGCTGTTAGAAGGACCGTTTATGCTTTCAATGCTGCAAAACTGTTAGTAATACAGATTTGTGCCTCTAATAACACGACTACAAAAAAAAATTAACTTTAGAAAAGCGCAAGGGTTTTAAATGACAAGAATTTGGTAGATTTAATTCTGGTTAAAGTCAGACAATTATAATCCACACAACCCCAATTAGGAACAGAAGATAAAGGGAGCTTTATATAAAATTTCATAAATACCATTGAAATAATTTGATAATGTTAATAATAATGATCTATGATAGCTCCCTAGACAAAGTACATAATCTCAGCATATAGTGAGGTCAATGGCCGCAGTAAGTGCACTGAATAATATTGGACTTTTAGCAGAAAATATCTATCTCCAATGACAAATCCCCAGATCAGACTGTGACTAAAGTAGAGTTAATTTAGCCATAAGCAGTGGGGTACACATAATCAATGGGGACCCAGTGCAAAACTGATCTATGCCCCCCCCTTTCTCTTCCCCCCTCTCACTCCCTCCCCCAACAGACAGACACACACACACACACACACACACACACACACATAGAGACACAGACAGACAGATATATACAGACACATACACACACACACACACGACATACATACATACACACACACACACACACACACAGACATACACATACAGACACACACACATACACACAGACACACATACATACAAAGACACATACATACATACAAACAGACAGGCACACATACAGACAGGCTCAGGTTGATTGGAGTCAGAGTTACCACTCCCACGCGGCTCTCTGATAGCTGGGAGAAGTGACAGGCAGTCACTTCCTCCCAGCAGTGATCTCATCATACCCATCGGGTGGCCCTAACCTGACAAAGATTATGGGTCACCTGATGGGCCCCTTGAACGTGCGGTCCCTGCGGTTTTCCGTGCGGGCCAGGGCCGAAAAACATGGCGGCTGGTAACCGGTCGCAGGGGTCCGCTGCCCCCTATATGTACGCCACTGGCCATAAGATAAGACTGACCTGGCGACCTGACCTGACAAAGATTTATTAAGTCAAATCATGTTCAGTCTTATGGGTGTATTTTTTTTTCATTCTGGACTGAGGATTTATTGATATTGCTTCATCTCAGCACAGACCTGACTTGTAGACAAAGACAGTCTAAAAAAAATAAGACAGGGCTCTGTAAGAATGAAAGAGGCAGCAAATTGTTTGGTATTTACAGGTTTGGCAAGAGTAGGAATTGAAAGGTAAATAACTTCTTTGTTAGTAGTTCAATTTTTTTGCTGCAGGTACATATAACTGAGTATTGGGAGATTCATCAAGGGTAATTTCACAGTCGTGAAAACTCGTAAAAATAGTAGAATTTTATTGGTGTGAGATATTGGGATATGATTTTAAGAATGTTACGTCCTGTAGTGGGAAATCGTCCTGAAATGTGGTTTTTAACAGGATGAGGCTACAGAGCCACAAATGACCTCCTGAGACAACTGTTCGGTATGATTAATTTGGCTGCCATGTTCACCCGACCTTTCCAGCGGTAGAGCCTCAAACATTAACTAATGTTGTGAACAATGCAATCGAAAGAGCCTGACTTTGCGAGGCAACAAGAGGAGCTAATTTAAAAGATGTCATCTTCGGTACCCAGTCAGAAAAATCTCCATCTCTCATTAATAAAAAAAGTACTACTACTCTGAATTTTGGCCCACCCTTAACCCCTTAAGGACTGAGCAAATTGTACAAGTTGTGATCAAATCAAAACTTAAACAAAACCTTGAATTTGCGCTATATGTCTGTTCAGGCGTAATTCACCTCTTTCATATTATGTCTACCTACGCTTATCATATATCATTTTGTTGAGGAGAAACAGTGCTTTCATGTCATTTCAAATATATGTATATTAAGCATAGATTAATATGAATAAAATATAATGCATGGTATTTTGTCACAATACTGTTAGCTGTTACAGCAAAAAAAGTACACATATTTGTATTCAGCGATGTCTCATGGGTAAAACAGTATCCCCAATGTACAGGTTTTATGGTGTTTTGCAAAGTTACAGGGTCAAATATAGCACATTACATTTTTCAGTTTATACACATTGAAATTTGCCAGGCTGGTTATGTTGCCTTTGAGACCAAATGGTAGCCCAGGAATGAAAATTTACCCCATGATGGCATACCATTTGCAAAAGTAGACAACCCAAGGTATTACAAATAGGGTGTGACGAACTACACTTCGTCACTGGCTTTTGGAGAGGCCTGCTTGCCATCCTCTTGCCCTGTGACTATGGCCCCTGGGGTATATTGCCGTTAAAAATCTCTATTTGTGCATATTGGATTTTAAAACACTGCTTCTGCCCTTAGGACTTTTAACTGGAACAGATTAAAACATGTGGCGGCGGCCATCTTAAATTGTCCAGCAGTGTTTTGCCATCAAGTGTATGGAACTGTTTTGGGCATGGGACCATGTGCACGGTGGGGCAAAAATAAGATTTCCATGTAACTCCTGAACCCTTCAATCGATCTGGGTGATTTTTGGATATGTTGTTCACCCAGATTGGGTGATATAAAAGAAGCAGCTGTACCATTAAATCTTCAGTTCTACTTGACCCTCAACTCGCAGCCTCGACTCATGTTTGGGGGGGACAACTATAATCACTACAGGGATTGCTATGCTCTTCATACTCCCTTAGCTTCACTAAGCTCTTGTAAGAGCTTGTTCCTGTTCCTGCTTCGCTCTCTGAAGGAAGTCCAGGATGGGTAGGAGACGGCGAGACCCCAACCAAGCTGCGGCTGTTCGTGGGGTCTGCAGTGCTTATGGTGTTGGGTGCGGTGCTGATGGTCTTTGGTAGAAGGAGCATCCGTCTTACGGTCCAACCCTCAGCTAGCCTGGGGCAACCATAACATTTGGTGGCAGTGGTGTGATGGCTTTCTAGTGCGAGGAGCAGCATCCTGGAGACACCAAGCAAACATGACGTATCACTATGAGGGCGATGCTTACATTAAGGAGGTAAAGAGGCGGCTAGCCTGGTATGGCCCAGATCCTTCGGAAGAGGTAATTGTCCTAATCATGCACGAGTTGTATGATGAACTGAGCAGCACGGTAAGCTCAGGTTGTGCAGATTGGGGCTGTGGACAACCGGTCTTACTCCCCAGTGGCAGTGTGCATCCTAGGGAACAGAAGATATCGTCCTTCCTCCCCAGGGGCAGAGCGAGTTTCAGGGAGAGGAGACAACCGGTCTCTCTCCCCACTGGCAGGGTGAGTGTCAGGAAGAGAAGACAACCGGTCTCTCGCCCCAAGGGCAGACCGAGTCACAGGGAGAGGAGAGCAGTGACCTCTCTCCCCAGCAGCGGTATACTTTACAGGGAGAAGAGACAAGCGGTCTCCCTCCCCAACAGCAACCAGAGGTACCTGAGGTAGCGGACCTCATAGACTGGTCCTGGGAGGACCCCCAAATGGCAGGTGGAGATGGGACCCAGGTCTCTCTACCGGCCCTACAGGGATGCTGGGCAACCGGCCCAGATCCCCAGTGGCTGCTAGAGCTACAGGGAGAGGAGACAACCGGTCTCTCTCCCCAGCGGCAGCAGGAGTACCAGAAGGAGGAGGTAAGCAATCCCTCCCCTACCCTCCCCAGCTAACTCCTAACCTAGTACCAGGGTTAGCGGAGGAGACGTTAACCCCCACTGGCCTCCTCTCAGCAGAAGAGCTGGCAGCCGGGCAGAACGCAGTTGGCCTCTGCCCTCCCCTTTCCCCTCGTCCAGAGCTTGAATTCCTGCAAGCTACCCCAGCAGAAGAGCTGGCATCAGGGCAGAGTGTCGCTGGCCTCTGCCCTACCTACCCCCTTGTTACAGGACAGGATTGTACACCCCTTACCCCAGCAGAAGCGCTGGCAAATGGGCAGCCTCTGTCCTCCCCTGGTCAGTGATTCAGGAACTGACTACCCACTTCCCTACCCAGCTGAAGCGCCGCTGGCCTCTGCCCTAATTTTTAAAACACTGTTTCTGCCCTTAGGACTTTTAACTGGAACAGATTAAAACATCTGGCGGCGACCATCTTAAATTGTCCAGCAGTAAGTGAAAGAGTGTGTGCTGTGTGTGTGTAACTGTGATTGTGTCTGTCTGTGACTGTGTGTGTGACTGCCTGTGACTGTGTGTCTGTGTGACTGTCTGCCAGTGACTATGTGTCAAGGATCTTACCTGAAGTGGGAGTCCGGCACGCAGAGTTGAGGCACCCTTTGCAAATCGACACAGACCGAGGGGACTCAGGACAGAAATCCCCAAGGCTGTGACACAGTGCACTGGGGCTGAAATAACCAGTGCTTCCTGGAACGCAGTACAGACAAAGGATATCCAGAAGAGTAGTCAGTATCAGAATCAGAAGTCAGGACGGGCGGCAATCAGGCGAAAACAGTAGACGAGCAGGGGATCAAAAGCAGGAGTCAGATGAACAGCAGTGAAACCAAACAGGAACAGGAAACACGATCTGACAACGAGAACCAGCCTTGCGGGGTTTAAATAGGGAGTCTCAGCCAATCATCAAGGAACCAGGAACAGGTGTGCACATTCCAGGCGTACAGGCTCAGACTACAGGATACCAAGAACAACCAGAAACAGTCAAAGATGCGTGGAGCTCAATGCAAAGATACCGACTGGGATGCAGGAAACTCAGGTTTGATCCCAGCCAGACCCAAATACACAATATTGTGTAAAGCACAATGGTGATCCTGACACTATGTGTGTATGACTGCCTGTGAATGTGTGTGTGTGTGACTGTCTTCCTGTGACTGTCTGTGACTGTATGCGTAACTGTCTGCCTGTGACTGTATGTGTGACTGTGTGTTGTGCGATTGTCTGACTGTGACTGTGTGTCAATGTCTGCCTGTGACACTGTGTGACTGCCTTTGACTGTGTGTGTAACTGTCTGCCTGTAACTGTGTTCTCTCTGCTCTGCTCCCTCGCGCGCCATTTGCTGAGGCAGAGAGCCGGAATATGTGACATACAGTAAACAGCCCGTGAGGGAGCAGAGAAGAAAGAACACAGCTCCCTCGCCGCGTCTGACAGGAACTCTGCTGCCCGTCACACTGAAGCCCCGCTGGACCCCAGGGACCGATCCACGCCAGCTCTCCAGGTAAGGAGGCTGGGTGGACATTTAATATTAATCATTTGTGTCTGAATGTGTATGTGACTGTGAGTGTGTGTGTATGTGTGTGTCTGTTTGTGTGTCTATAAGTGTTTGTTTGTCTGTAATTGTATGTGTGTGTCTGTAAGTGTGTGTATGTGTTTCTGTAAGGGTATGTGTGTCTGTAAGTGTATGTGTGTCTGTAAGGGGGTGTAAGTGTGTGTGTGTGTCTGTGAGTTTACGTGGGTATATCAGAGTGTGTGTATATGTCACATCCTGTTCTGTTCTGCAGAGATGTCTGGTATCCAGTACCCTTTTTACAATTCTTGTTTAGTTTATCTTGGTTTTTCTGGTTTTCTATTCTGTGTCTGGTTTTCTTTTTGCTGTGTTTTCTGGGTTCATTCGTTTATTCCGTTCCTGGAATTCCCAGTCTCGTAGATTCCTTTAAATGTTTGTTTTTTGTTGCCACACCCGTTCCTTTCCCATTAATCCTTTTGTTTCAGTTGGTTCCTGCAGGCAGTTGCTCCATGTCCTCTGACCCTTTCTTGCAGGTAAGTGCTGTGTGTGTTTTATTCTTATTTATTTAGTCATGCATAGCTAGGTAGATAGGAACCCACCGTAATTGTGGTACTTTGACGCAGTGGTGGGCTGCATACATCTTGGCCATTTATGTATGTCTAAATCTCCTATGTTTATTGCACATATTAGTACTTAGTTATGTCTCCTCTTGTTTTGCCTTGCATCTCTGGTCGTACAGTACTGTCCTGCCCTGTTCATGTTTCCCTCATGTCTTGTGTACATGTTGTGCTATCCCCAATGCTGTTCTGCATAGGCCTCAACCCCCTTAGCCAGATAATCAAAAAGAGTGGATACGGATACAGGTTCAAGAGTGGAGCTGCCATCAGCCACCTACTCTACATGGACGACATCAATTTTCTTTTTATTGTTTAAGCATGCGTGGGACAGGCATAAGGCTATCCTAACTATAAGATAAGGCCAGGGACTAATGAAAGTATTTAGAAAATTGGGCAGACTAGATGGGCCAAATGGTTCTTATCTGCCGTCACATTCTATGTTTCTATGTTCTGGGTTCTGCTTTCTGTCCTGCTCCGGTTCTGGGTTCTTCTAGTCATGTCTTGTATTCTTGTTAGTTGCCTGTCCTAGTCTTGCCTTGTTTCTGTACTGGATACATTTCTGCTGCAGATCCCCCCTATCCAGTTCCTGGGAGGTGTGCATATCATCAAGCTCCTAGCTCTTGGAATCCGCAGAAGCTGCATAAGGGCCCTGGTATGTGGCCGCACAAATGCTGGTGCTCAACACCAGCGGGCGTGTGGTTACCCTGCACCAGGCCCTGATAGTCCATTTCCATGCTGAGACTCCCATCATCATCAGACACTCAGGGGTCCCGGTCTCCGTACCACCATCCGTGATAGTATATGAGTGTATGTGTGTGTGTCTCTACATGTGTCTGTATGTATGTCTGTATGTATGGGTCTCTGTGTGTATGTATGTCTGTATGTATGTGTCTGCATGTGTATCTGTTTGTCTGCATGTGTGGTTGGGCAGGGGCGGGGACGTGTGGGGTAGGAGGTAGATGTATGGGGGGGCCCCAGGGCAATTGTCGCACCGGGGCCCCGTGGTTTCTAGTTACGCCTCTGTGTGTGTGTGTATGTATCTGACACACAGATACACACACACACTGGTACATAGTAGCACACAGGTACACACACTAACACACAGTTACTCACACCCTGACACACAGTGTGTGTGTGTGTGTGTATCTGTGTTTCAAAGTGTGTGTATCTGTATCTGTGTTTGTGTGTGTCTGTGTATCAGGATGTGTGTATCTGTGTTTGTATGTGCCAGTGTGTGTATCTCTGTGTCAGTGTCTATCTGTGTGTGTGTGTGTGTGTGCATGTATGAATCTGACACACAGATACACACATAGTGACACACAGATACACACACTGACACAGATATACACATGTTGACACACAGTGTGTATCTGTGTGTCAAGGTGTGTGTATCTATGTGTCAAAGTGTAGTTATCTGTGTTTGTATGTGCCAGTGTGTGTCAAGGTGTGTATACGTGTTTGTATGTGCCAGTGTGTGTATCTCTGTGTCAGTGTGTGTGTGTGTATGTATCTGACACACAGATACCACACACTGGCACACCATGACATACAGGTACACACACACTCAGATACACATACACACACTCAGATGCACACAGTTACATATACACACTTGCACCCACAGATACACACACTGGCACATACGCACACAGATACACACATTGACACATAAACACAGTGTCATATAAACACACTGACACACTCAGATACACACACACACACATAGGCACATACAAACACACTGATATACACTGGCACATACACACACACATACTGACACACACACACACTCAGATACACAATGTGACACACACACAAACCTTGACACACAGATACACACACTGACACACTCAGACACATACTCTTTGACAGACACACATACACTTTGACAGACACACATACACTCTCACTGAAAAACACACATACTCTTTTACAGACACACATACAAACACATATACAATCTCAGTGACAAGCACACATACATTCTCACTGACAAGCACATACACACTCACAGACAAGCACACATACACTCTCGCTGACAAACACACATACACTCTTTGACAGACACACAAATACATACAAACTCCCTAACAGACACAATTTATTTTAATTTTACTCCACCCAGCCTCCCTACCTTTGGGAATGCTGGCATGGAGTCTCTATATCCCTGTGCTTCAGTGGGGCTGCTGAGCTAAGCGTGCGGTCCCTGGGGTCCAGTGGGGCTGCTGAGCAGCTGGTGTGCGGTTCCTGGGGTCCAGTGGGGCTGCTGAGCGGCTGGCGTGCGGGCGGCGAGGGAGCAGTGATCTCCCTGCTTAGCTCCCTTGAGCGCCTCTTAGTGATGCCGGAGCCGGAGTGATGTCATATTCCGACTCCGGCATCACTGCTGTGCGCGTGAGGAAGCTGAGCAGGGAGATCACTGCCCAATGCTTCCTTCGCCACCCGCGGCTTTTTGTTTTCACAAATTTTGGCGGAACCCCATTTGTGTTCTCGCGGAACCCCAAGTGGAAAACGCTGGTCTAGGGCTCAGCTAACTAGAATGTTAGTTATTAGCAATATCAGTTTCCTACTTATTTTAGCATCAGCTGACCTGCTACAGAAAACTACACAAATAAGCTGTATTTGAGCTGGTGATAGGTATAGGACACTCAAAGTATGTTCAGAGTGGTTATACAGTCATTGTTATACGTCACTGATTATAGCTTTTTAGAAGAGAGTTGCTTTATGCTTTATATACACTGGTTTTGTTGACTAGTGCTTTGTTTGTGAGTTGGCCATTAGTAATACAATGTAACACACAAGTACAGATTCCACTTATATGGAATAATTAATGCACAAGCATACACAATGAATCATTGTTTCCACTGAAAGAGACTTAGACAGCACTGTTCTGACCTCAGAACAAAGCTTTATCATCCTGACCAATGCATCACCCTAAGATGTTTTTTTTTTTTTTTTTGTGTGTAAGTCTATCATTGAATCTCTTGATGATATAAGGAGCTGCCACACTTACACATTTAAAGAGACAAAACAAAACAACATTAGCTTAATGAAGCAGTTTTTCTATATACATGCGTCTAAAGTTTTACTGCTCAATTCTTTGCTATTTAGGAGTTAAATCACTTTTGTTTCTGTTTATGCAGCCCTAGCCACACCTCCCCTGGCTATGACTGACACAGCCTGCATGAAAACAAAATGGTTTCATTTTCAATCAGATGTATGTTACTTTAAAAGTGTTGTACTGCTCTGTAAATTGAACTTTAATTACATACAGAAGGCTCCTACAAGGTCTAGGAAGCTATTAACAGAGTAGGAGATAAGAAATTCTAAATTAAACAGAATTTGCAATAAAGGAAGTGTAAAGTGTGTCACAACAAGTGACCCCAACACACAGAATATAACCCAAATTAGAAAACTTATTACCGGACCTTAGAATGGCCAGGTTTAATGTAGATAGAATAGTCGAGGTATAGCCAAAGTCAAGGATAACGATAAGGAGTAGCCGAGTCAGGAAACCAGAGAACAGGATAAACGAGAAAACAAGCCGAGTCAGGATACCAGAAAGTAGAATAGTCAATATAACACAAGCCAAGTAAAATACCACAACACTCAGACAGAAATCAGTATAGCATTAGAGCAGGGGTGAGAAATATTGGCCCTCCAAATGTTTTTGGACTACATCTCCTATAATACATCTCCTATAATGCTAGCAATGCATCAAGGCAGATGCAGTCCATAACATCTGGAGGCCCGAAGGTTCTCTACCCCTGCACTAGAGGGAACAACCAGTGAGCCACAATAAGGCACTGAACAAAAGCAAAAGGCACTCTTTTATAGCGCAGTGTCTTTTGCTTTAAATCCACGCCTCCAAAACGTCAGGGAGCATGCAATATTTTGAATTTTTAGTGGCATAGCCACTATGACGTCGCATCATAAAAGGGGGACGTGCGTGGAGCGGCCGTCAGACATGCCGTGCCTTCGCTGGGAGGAGTCGGCACCTGGAGCATCTCCTTGCGGGTCCCTGGGTTTAAGGTAAGGTATCGTGACATAGTGTAAACATAAACATTAAATGACTACAGGATTTACAGGAAGTGTTTGGGAAGGCTGTGTAAGTCACATGCAGGTAGGAGTGACTAGGGCTGCATAAACAAAGCGATTTAACTCCTAAATGGCAGACATTTGCTGTGAGACTTCAGGGGCATGATCTCTACACCAAAACTGCTTCATTAAGCTAAAGTTGTTTTGGTGACTATACTGTCCCTTTAAAGAAACATTATTGCTTTAGGAATACAAACATGCTAATGTTATACTATTACCCAATGTATTTTGGATTTTTGATAATTTATTTGGATGATCTCAGCCAGGGCCGCCATCAGGGGGTGACAACCATAATGGTTGTCATGGGCCCGGCAGTCCTTAGGGGCCCGGCCCCCAGGCCCCACGTGTAGCGGCGGAACTGCTGCCGGTGCAGTAGCACCGTGGCCCGCACGCTGATGGGGCCCATTGGGTGGCACATGCACTTAGGGCCACCCGATGGGCCCCATATCTTCAGGGGCCCGGTCAGCGCTGTGGCCGTGGTATAGCGCGACCCGGTCCCTTTAAAAAAAAAAAAAAAAATGCCACCGCAGTGCAAGTGCTGCTGGGAGGAAGTGGTCACTTCCTCCCAGCTCACTCTGCGCGGGAGGAGCGCGCGCGCGGCAGTGAGGAAGAGCCGCGACGACTACTCCCATCATCCCCAGCCACCCTCCTGCAAAGACAAGGTAAGAAACAGGAGGGTGGCTGGAAAATGAGCTGTGTGTGTGTATGTCTGTCTGTATGTATGTATGTATGTCTGTATGTATGTATGTATGTATGTCTGTATGTATGTATGTATGTATGTCTGTCTGTATGCATGTCTGTCTGTATGTATGTCTTTATGCATGTCTGTCTGTATGTATGTATGTATGTATGTCTGTGTGTATGTCTGCATGTCATAATGAATGTGTGCATGTATGGATGTCAGTGTCTGTATGAATGTATTTATGTATGTCTGTATGCATGTCTGTATGCATGTATGTCTATCTGTATGCATGTCATTATGTGTGAATGAATGTCAGTGTATGTACGTCTGCATGTCATTATGAATGTGTGTATGTCTGTCTGTCTGTATGAATGTATGTATGCCAGTATGAATGTCTGTCTGTATGTCATTATGAATGTGTCTGTGTGTCCTTATGCATGTGTGTCTGTATGTATGTTAGTATGTGTCTGTCACTATGTACGCCTGTGTGTCTGTATATGTGTGTATGTCTCAGTATGTGTGTGCCAGTATGTATGCCTATATGCGTATCAGTATGTGTGTCTGTTAGTATGTATCAGTGTGTGTGTGTGTGTATCTATGTCCTTTTGTATCAGTGAATGTGTTTCTGTCTGTGTGTGTATTCCTGTGGGTGGGATTTGGAGGCAGTCTCTGTGGGAGGTTTTGGAGGCTGGCCCCCAGGGGCCCAGACCCTGAGCTCAGTTAGGGGCCCCAAAATTAATGGTCCTTTTTTTTTTGTCAATCTTTATTTTATTGTGCAAATAGTGAACAAAGCTGGTTTGTTACGCCACAACAAACCCAAATAATAATATACATGCTATAATAATGTCATGGCATGCAGATTTCTTGCAAAGTTTTGGTAAATGTAGATGAATACATGCTAGTCAGGTATGTCTATTTTGAATGAGAATATAACAGTTAGCTATCTTGCGAGAAGGTCTGGTCATATGTCACAAAAAGAAAAACATAAATATTAAAACAGAAGAGTGGCATGCTTAGTCTAAATATCTGCTTCCTTCCTGACCTTTATGCTAGGCTGGGTGAAATATAAGTAACAGGCTAAAGTGGGACACTACCCCTGTTGGGTCACTAGGCATGGGGGGAAACAGGTCTTGCAAACTGGTAGGTTTAAATAAAATGATATAAGTATGCCTATGTAAGTACGTAATCAATGTTCGATTAGCGTGGAGTAGTGCCCCCCTGGGATCCTATGTGTGGTCAATGATGCTTGTGGGCAGTGGTGCATGAAGTAAGCTTATACATAACAGTAGATTCGATGATGTCTATTTTTTTGGGGCCTCGTGCCCCACCTTCTCCTCATTTGGCTCAGGTGAGCTGTGCCTACCCGAAAGCAACAACAACCCGGAATTGGCCTTTAAGGCCACGGAGCGCCCAAGACAGAGCGCCCAGGACCACCGAGTTTCTCCTGGAGGGTGAGGCGGTCCTGGGCGCTCTGTCTTGGGCGCTCAGTGGCCGTAAAGGCCAATTCCGGGTTGTTGTTGCTTTCGGATAGGTTCCATGAGTCTGCTCCCCAGATGGCCCCCTTCCGTTGCCGGCCTTTCATGGTAGTGGAGCTGGGGGGGTTTGCTGTGTCCCACCATTTGACTACCCGTTTTTGGCTTTGTGGCATGGAATTGGGCAAGGTTTCCGGTTCTGGAGGTCACATGCGGGCCTCAAGCTTCTCCCAGAAGGAGTTGAAGATTCTATCGAGGCGGAGCTCCATTTCCCTCTTTGCACTGCATAGGCCTGCGGCGTGGGATGCATCCGCCATTTTGTAGGCCTCATTAGAATTAGGCTCAGGACTTCGTGGTCGTGTCGCTTTGACACTAATTTGCAGGGGGATTGTGAGGGGGCAGACCGGGAGAATCCCAGCCGGTCCGTGGGGGGGGGACTCAGAGTCAGGAAGCCAGCTGTTCGTGGCGGCAGGAGAGCAGCCGTCTCTCCCGCGCCTTCCATGCTTGTAGGCCTCACCAGAGTTTAGGGTGTGTATTGGTTAAAATGTCGCTTGGGTGGTGTCATCTTGTGCTACTCTGTGTCACCTTTTTCTTGGTGGCATTTGTATCTAAATTAATTGCTGTCTAGGTCGCTGAAATCTGCTTTTTCTGCCCCAGATGGCAGGAGCTGTTGAGGCTAGCTTCCTCTCAGCTCTGCAGTTAGGCCCCGCCCCTTAATGGTCCTTTAAAGGGACTCTCCAGTGCCAGGAAAACAAACCGTTTTCCTGGCACTGCAGGTCCCCTCTCCCTCCCACCCCCCATCCCAGGGTGCTGAAGGGGCTAAAACCCCTTCAGTGACTTACCTGTATCCAGCACGATGTCCCTCGGCGCTGGGTCAGGGTCCACCCACGCTCTTCCCTCGCCGACGTCATCCATCGGGGGAGACCTACTGAGCATGCGCGCCCGTGGCAGGGGAGACCTAATGCGCATGCACAGCAATTCCGCACACGCGCATTAGACCTCCCCATAGGAAAGCATTGAAAAATGCTTTCAATGCTTTCCTATAGGGATTTCAGCAACGCTGGAGGTCCTCACATAGCTTGAGGACGTCCAGCGACGCTATAGCACACTTTTCATGTGCTATTATCACAGAAGTGCCCTCTAGTGGCTGTCTGCTAGACAGCCACTAGAGGAGGAGTTAATCCTGCAAAGTAAATATTGCAGTTTATGAAAAACAGGGTTAAGGGTTAAGGGTCGTGGGTAGTGGGAGTTGGCACCCAGACCACTCCAATGGGCAGAAGTGGCCTGGGTGCCTGGAGTGTCCCTTTAACATTTGAAAAGACTCAACTGTAATAAACCTAAACATACTCTATCAGAACTAGTAGTGTTAGATGCCAATCAACTTAAAGATACCAAGCAATACATTACATTATACACAATTCAGGAGGCTCTCACGTTATTACATCTTGATTGATCAATAAGGACATACTCTCACTCCCTGAGCAACACTAAAACCTCCACTTTCGGTGACCAGCATTATCATTTCAAGTTAAAATTTCCACCGTTGTTAAATTGTTAGTGGATTCCATATAAAATGTAGCATTCACTGTATTCACAAAGCTTATTGCCTGGTTTTAGCCTACAAGATATAATATTTTCTAAAAATATTTAATACAATTTAATTCTGTATCTGGTTATAACAAATAAGGTTGATGTTTTGTCAAACATTCAAGTAGGGGGGAGCATTTGATAAATAATGATCACTTTGTCCTTTGAAATAAACTAAAAAACAAACAAAACAAATGCACATGGGATATACCAAAACATATAATTTTAAAAAGACAGTTTTCAATAAAATAAGGACAACCACAGGGCAAAAATTTTTAATTTTCAAACAAATATTAGAAAGATACACATGTCTGTATACGGCATTGGGCAACAAATAACAAAGAAACGAAGTGAAACCAATGTGGCTTATTAGGAAGGTAAGCCAAGGAATTAAAAAGCAGAAAAGAAGAAAAAGGTATTTTAATTAGATAAATCAGAGACATCCTATAGAAAATATAAGGACGTCAATAATACCTATAAGAAGACAGTTTGATGGGCTAAACTAGAAATTTAAAAAGTCAAAGCCAAAAAAACAAAAACGACCAACCCACAAAAAGATAAAGTTTTTTTAAAAAGTACATAACTTAAAATAATTCAAAATTGAAAGTGTAGGTTCACTGAAATCAGGTGAGATGAATGTTAGTAAATGAAGATAGGAATAAGGCAAACATTTTAAATAATTATTTTAACAGTATATATCAACAGGTAACCCATGGCAAGAGAAATGCAAATGATTTCTGCAATAAATGTGCAGAAAAATTGTGATTTCAGCAGGAAGCTGAATTGTTAAAATGCCCACACCCAAAAAGGGGAAGTAAGGGGGCATATCCACCTAAGTGCGTAAGTGGAACTGACACTTCTGGTGGTACCAGGAATGTTGAATAACATATAAAAAAAATGACTTACAAATAGTTTTTACATTTTTTTTCATTTGATGCTCTTTCATGTTACTTTGTATATTAAAAATTTACCACATGATATCAAAATCCAATTCGTGTTTCAGTATTTTCTCTTCCACGAACTGATATATGGCAAAAGAACAACGTTTATAACAATGATTGACAGGCCCAAAATGAAATTGATCAGTGTCAGGATAAATGTGTGGACTTTTACATTTTATTTTTCAGTGCAAAATGTTTGTCCGGGCTCTGTTCGTTTTTGCTGCTTGTAATGCCTCTTTTACAGAACGTGATTCAATTTAATTCTGTTATATTGGTTTTACTTTTCCAACGGCTCCAGCACACATTTTTATTACCTTACCAGACCATCTTTTTTTTTCTGTTCTCCATTACATCTAGAATATCTGTTAGGCAGCTCAGACAATTGTTATATGTGATTTATGTGATTCAATGTTAGGGGCCCTTGAGGGCACAGCGAGGTAGAGTGGTGTATCCTTTACCTAATCATTTATGTGTTCCTGATTCCTTGTTACATTCTGTTCCCTTATCCTTTAGCTATCACATTTTTGCTTTGTTTAGCCCAGTTATTTCTTTTCTATAGTTGTCTATTACCCTTTTTATAGACTACTACTAGTTTTTCACTGTAATGATTTTTATTTACTATTTTCTTACTGTCAGTAGATATTATATCTTTTAACCTTTCAGCTTTGAAAGGCTCTACCTATCTTTGCGGTCTTGCAATGATATATTTTATGCAATATGCTTCACTGTCTCTTTTTTTCCTTGTATTTAGTTTATGGTACCTTCGTATAAGTTTAAATTGCTGGGTGAAGCCCTATATCTTAAAACAAAGGGGACAAGAGTCTGCGCTAACTAATAGATAGAGGAGCAGCAACCCTAAAAAGAGAATCCCTCAAAAAAACCTTGGAAAACAAGAGAAAATAAAAAGAGTTAAGGGCTGCGCTTAAAATCAATATATTTTTTATATACTTTTTTATTTTTTATTTTATTTTACTTTTTAAATTTATTAATCTCAAGTGTATCCCGTCTAAAGAAATCCTTAGGTGGGGATAATTCCACCAGCGCTGTGGCAATAGAGCAGTATTTGTCTGCTCTATTCTTGTAAGTATAATTTATTTTAATTATCTTATTGTTCCAACTGAGAGCACTATCTGCTGTTTTATATATTCTGTGGATAACAACGGATCCTAAGCCGGAGAGATGGACCTATCCTTCCAACTGCAAAGAGTCTCATACATCTGAGCTCGTCCTAGCTTATGTTTAAGCAACTTGAAGGAATCCAAGCCAGATGGACGGACCGACTATCCAAGTATATCCTGTAGTGGGGATTAAACCACTAAGTGCCCTTTCTCCTAGAGCTGGTTCAAGCTCCAACAAATGTGAGTACAATACCTTTTCCTTGATTTATATACCACATCTGGATCTGCAATATTTCACCATTGGCAGCTTTTTCTTTTGTCTTTTTATCTCCACATATATGGACTATTTATCACACGGACGGACCAATATCTGAGGACTAAAACCATACCACCATATACCAGTGAGATTGTTTCAACTTACACTATCTAATTCCCATATTTGGATGAACTTTGTTTATTTTATTCATATTATATCTTGATTTTATCCATTGCTATTTGCTGATTTTACTCTTATTTATTGATTTTAAGCACAGCCCTTAACTCTTTTTATTTTCTCATGAAGCCCTATATCTGTCTATAATATTCAGCTGCCCCTGAAGGCATCGTTAAAAAAAAAACGGAAAAAAAAACCTCCTTAAATTGAAGAATCCTTTAGGACTAAGGAAGACCCCAGCAGCACATCTAGTATGTATTTTTACTGATCTAAATCCTCATAAGGTAACTAATTCTGAAGAATTTAACTTGTTGCTATTTTTTGCAACATTTGTTTCACTGTTACACTCCATCGCTGTCCTTTTATTTTGATATTTAAAGGAACGCTATTGCATTCATGTATTCCTAATGCTAATGTTCCTCTACCTATATGTGGCAATCGCTGCTGTGAGGATTTAACGGTTGAGTTACTTTCCTTAAATCATGCAGCAAGTCAGTCTCTGTGGGGAAGATCTGCCTCCTTGACTGACATCATCAAGCTTGATGATCTCAGCCAATTAAATGCTTTCCCATAGGAAATTTGGCATTCACTGCACTGTACTGGATCAATCAGATTATCTCTATGAACATCTGATTGAAATAGCGGAGTTTCTCTTGGCTCTTTCGATGGAACAGCCACAAGGTGTCAGGATTCCTCCATGTAATTTCGTTATACCGCCATATTGTTTTCAGTCTCATCGGCATAACCCGTCTGACTTTCGGGTTTAGCCAATCCATGCACGCCCATGCGTCTGACGTGACGTATCTCCCTTTAAAAAGGAACCCGCAACTACAGCTGATTGCTCAATCAATGTGTTGTGTTTGTTGTTGTGACTCAAACACTCTTGTGTGTTTGAAGAGCTTTTGTTTCGTTCCTTTCACGGAACTCCAATACTGATTCCTGTGTACCGAACTTTCTGCATGATCCTGGCTAAGCTTTCTCTACATTCCCTGTATTGGATACAGACAACATTGGAACCCTACCTTCTCTCCAAACTACGGGTGACCATAATCCCTGCTACCCTGGATGGACTTCCACACTCTTCATCCTAAGAGTACAGATAAATTCACCAGTTTAAGGGATTACTAATTAGTTTACCCCAAAGTTATAGCAGGAGGAATAGGAGTCGCAAGTCTGCCCTCTGGGATTGTTTTTACAAAGCTGCAACTATCTAAAAATACTAACTGCATATATATTATTTCTGCAAGTCTAAGGACTATAATTCTTTGCATCCAGAGTCTACCTTTATTTAATTTATTCTACAAATATATGGGCTGCATATTCTTTCTCAAGTTACAAAAATCACCCGTGCTGCTTAACTGCTCCTTAAAAGCCTTAAAAGTCTTGTTTTTTTGCCAATCATGCAACCTCTCATTTAATTTACATTTAATTGTCATATCTTGTGAAGCAATACCAAACAAGTTTGTTATTCATGTATTTTTAGTTCAAGACCTTATTCTTACAAAAGTCTGCAAAGGTGAAATTATATTATTTAAATAAATTATGTTCCTTTAAAGTGACAGTACCTCATTTCTTCATTAACCTGCGGTTGAGTTCTAAATAACTAATTAATTTAACCAGAGCATTACACAAAGGGGCATTTAAACCCTGCTATGTAAACATTGCTATTCATGCAGGGTTACAATGACAGTAACATGGCAACCACTTCACTGAAATATTATCTGTTAAACAGCTCTATGCACCCAAGCCCAGTTTTAGGCTGGTATATATATTTTATTTAAGTATATTATATAAAAGCAAACATGTTTCACTGTCATATAGGCATTATAGGGGAGCAACTGACATCCATATACCCAAGCGCCTACCAAACATGTAGGTCTGTTTGTATTCAATCATTATTGTGTTCATTGTAAATGTCTAGGCATTATCCAGGCACAGGGCAGAAAATATAGGTGATACTCGAAAAATTTGAATATCGTGCAAAAGTTCATTTATTTCAGTAATGCAATGTAAAAGGTGAAACTAATATATGAGATAGACGCATTACATGCAAAGCAAGATAGTTCAAGCCGTGATTTGTCATAAGTGCGATGATTATGGCTTACAGCTCATGAAAACCCCAAATCCACAATCTCAGTAAATTAGAATATTGTGAAAAGGTGCAGTATTCTAGGCTCACAGTGTCCCACTCTAATCAGCTAAGTAAGCCACAACACCTGCAAAGGGTTTCTGAGCCTTTAAAGGGTCTCTCAGTCTGGTTCAGTAGGAATCACTATCATGGGGAAGACTGCTGACCTGACAGGTCAAAAGGTAATTGCGAAGGAAGTTGGATGTTCCCAAAGTGCGGTATCAAAGCACATTAATAGAAAGTTATGTGGAAGGGAAAAGTGTGGTAGAAAAAGGTGCACAAGCAGCAGGGATGACCGCAGCCTGGAGAGGATTGTTAGGAAAAGGCCGTTCAAAAACATTGAGGACTTTCACAAGGAGTGGACTGAGGCTGGAGTCTGTGCATCAAGAGCCACCACACACAGACGGATCTTGGACATGGGCTTCAGATGTCGTATTCCTCTTGTCAAGCCGCTCCTGAACAACAAACAACGTCAGAAGCGTCTTGTGGCGAAACTGGCCTCGCCACTGGGCATTGGAGAAGACTGATTGCCTGCCTCCTGCCATGTGACTATGGCCCCTGGGATGTATTGCCCTTTAAAGACATGATTTGGGCATAAGGGATTTGTGTTGTGCTGCTGCTAGCCCTTTAAGAACCATCTGGGAACATACTGTGGAGTTACTGGGTGGCCACCATTTCCTGTATCAGAGGCACATGGTGAGAGCAATGGATGAAGCACATGGTGAGAACAATGGATGGCGGCCATTTTAACTCACAGACACTGTTTGGACTTTTCAACACGGTGCCATCTCGCCACTATTTGGTGCACAGAGACATCGTGCAGTAGTTTTGGACTATACAGCAGGGGACACATTATACAGTGATTGTTTTTCATTTAGCCTGTATATGTTCTGCAGAATCTGCATTAAACTGTATCTTCCAAAGTACTGAACGGATCTGGGTGAATTTTGGATATGTGGTTCACCCAGATCCCCCGGTTCCAAGGATACTTTGTATGGGGTTATTGCATGTTTTGGGGTCCCTGTGATGTGTTTTATGAAACTGTATTTCTCTGTCTGTGATAATTAGATTACCCATTGTGTAAGGTAATTGTATCACAGGCAGAGGGGAGGATTTTGTGTGGGAGTGTCTTTCTGTAATGTACGGGTGTTATTGGTTGTTCTGTAAAACCCTGTGGGCAGTACTAAATTTGTGGATTGGGAATAAAAGAGGCTGTATGTGCCAGTCCAGTTAGTTCCTGCTTAACCCTCAAAGTGAAGTGTCGTCTCATTATTGGGGGAGGATTTATTGTATGCTGTTCCAGTTTGACTGCTAGGACTGTAAACCTATTCGCATGGTTTTTCCTATTCAGCTGTATAGAACATTCATATGCTTGAGAGCATTCATATGCTCCTACGGTTCGGTGGTTTTGATGTCTGCTGCAGTGCTTGGAGTCCTCAGGAAGTGCTAGGAGCATCCTTCAACTGAGGTACCCAGTCGGGGTGCCAGGTGATCTGTTACACGTCTTACCTGGGCTAAAGAAAAACAAACCTGGTCTGTTGCTCAGCGGTCCAAAGTCCTCTTTTCTGATGAGAGGAACTTTTGCATCTCATTTGGAAACAAAGGACCCAGAGTCTGGAGGAAGAATGGAGAGGCACACACTGCAAGATGCTTGAAGTCCAGTGTGACATTTCCACAGTCTGTGTTGATTTGGGGAGCCATGTCATCTGCTGGTGTTGGTCCACTGTGCTTCATTAAGTCCATGGTCAATGCAGCCATATACCAGGAGATTTTGGAGCACTTCATGCTTCCTTCCGCAGACGAGCTTTATGGGGATGCTGACTTCACTTTCCAGCACCTGCCCATACTGCCAAAAGCACCAAAGCCTGGTTCAATGACTGTGGGAATACTGTGCTTGATTGGCCAACAAACCTGCCTGACCTGAACCCCATAGAGAATCTATGGGGCATTGCCAAGAGAAAGATGAGAGACATGAGACCGAACAATGCAGAAGAGCTGAAGGCCGCTATTGAAGCATCCTGGTCTTCCATAACACCTCAGCAGTGCCACAGGCTGATAGCTTCCATGCCACGCCGCATTGAGGCAGTAATTGCTGCAAAAGGGGCCCAAACCAAGTACTGAGTCCAAATGCATGCTTATACTGGTCTGATATTGTTCTATGTACACTCCTTGTTTTATTGATTGCATGTAATATTCTAATTTACTGAGATTGTGGATTTGGGGTTTTCATGAGCTGTAAGCCATAATCATCGCACTTATGACAAATCACGGCTTGAACTATCTTGCTTTGCATGTAAGGAGTCTGTCTCATATATTAGTTTCCCCTTTTACGTTGCATTACTGAAATAAATGAACTTTTGCACGATATTCTAATTTTTCGAGTATCACATGAATATATATAGATATATATATTTGTCTTACTTTTTTACATTTGTACTTTTAACAATATAATTGTTAAGAAAAAAGTTAAGCACAGTTTGGAATGAATCTGAATGTCAATAATTTAAGTAAAACATTATAGTAGCTTTAAACCTCTTTTATTTGTTGTGGTTCGATGAAGAGTAACACAGGTGTATAAAATACAAATAAGTCTCCATATATCAACAAGAAATGTCACAAATAGTGACTTATCTTGTACAACATTTCTTTTTCTTTTTTTTTATATCTTAGAAACTAAATAAAACAAAACAAAAACAAAAACTTGATTTCTCACACACTGCATATCTTAATCAATATATAAAATCATATATGTGAAATCTTGGCTTGAAATTGTAGGGCGGATGACTATGGGGTGTTAAACAAGAGAGCCCCATTTTAAAGGATCATATTTTATTCTGTGATAGGTGGCAGTAAAAAAAAATATTTTAGTAAGCTCATTATGAAATGCGCTGTACATGCTAATGATTGGCGTGTGACGTGCAGCTGGAAAACACATTCAATGCACGATGTCGAATGGAAATAGATTTAATTGCAATTGTATGCTACTGACCAATACTCCCACTGCCATGTTGTCTACTTTGTTTTGCTTTGAATGGGAACTGTATGATTTACATTTTGCCTACACCCATTACATGGACCAGGGGTAGAAATAGTGTAGCGAGTGCCTTGGTGCAGGTACCTCACTCCCCCCCCCCCACCCAGGGCAAGGGTGGACAAAAGGTAGATCCTCAGCTGTCAAACAACTGCCACAATGCTTTGCCAGTAAGGGATATACCATCGACCATCCTTGTAGGGCTGTATTTCTATGCCAAGTTTGTGTGTTTGAGTGTAAGCATGTTTTTGTATGGAGTATGTGAAGGGTGTATTTGTCTGTATTGTGGGATTTTGAATCCAGTTTTGTGTTTACATGTACTGTTGCCATTTGATTGCAGTGGTGTATTTGTGTATAGTGTTGGTGATTGAATGCACATTTACATAAACATTAGCACATATACACACGTGCTGATACAGATCACACTGACGGAGATGTACATACACACTGACAAAAACACTTAAATACACACAGACTGACACATACCCACAGATACACACATCTAAACACACACTTATGTCACTGACATGGACAATTTCACTGATTTCCTGTGTGACCAACTGATTTTGTCCGAAAGGAAAAAAAATGTTTCTTTCAATGTTGTTCATGCGGCAGAGATTGTTTCGGTTTCAGATGATCCAAAATAAAGTGAAAATTGGGCAATGAATGTACTGTAAAATATAAACATAATATACATTTTATGTAAATATTTTGCAGTAATGTACCATTTAGCTCACAGATTTTTTTTACTGCTGCTCTTTTCTTTCCTCTGTTGGTCACTTCTTACTTGTTCTGAGAATAAAATTTAAAATTGAAGATTTTGCCATCAATCGTTTTTTTTTTAATGTTTTTTTTTTTTTTTTTAAGCCAAGGACAGAACTCCAATTCACAAAACAAATTAGGCAGTTTTTACCATTGTCTATTTCTTTTCTTTTCTGATTCATCCATATGGAGATTCAGAATTTTGGATTTTGTATGAATTGCCAATCGTCCAAAATTTGGATGAATCATAATTAGTTATCCAAAACTCTAAAATGCTAAATGGACAAATCACAAAACAAATGAAACGGTTTGTCCATTGTCCGTTTCTTTTGTTTCACGATTCAGAGTTCTGTCTGTGGAGCCAAAAAAAAGATGATTGATGGCTGAGGATAGCTACTAAATATTGATTTTATTCACATACCAAGTAAAAAGTGACCAATAGAGAAAAAAAGGAAAAACAATAAAAAACATATATATTTATCCATTATATCTTTAATAAATAAAGATTATATATTTAATATTAGATGAATATATAGATTTTTAAATGCGCCTCGTTTTTGCTTTTTGGCTACTTTTCTCACTTGATCTGTAAACTAAATGGTGCTAAATATGCTTATCAGGTTTTTATATTATGCATATATAGTGCAATACACTTATTGACCAATTTTCTCACCATTTCAGTTTGCCCGATCGGTTTCTCATCAAAATGATCTTATGGACGAAATGATCTCATGAACTGAAATAAAACACTACATGGACGAAACCCAAATTGACGAAAAATTTTTTTCCAGACAAATCGATGTGGACAAACACATTTTTTTGTCATGCAAAAGTCTATCATTTACTTTTTTCAGTCAAAGTCGATACTTCTGTGGCGCTTATACTAATTTAGGGCATGTACAGTGAAATGTGCAATGATTAATCTGGCCTAACCTTTAGCTGCCAAATTAAATTTATTAGAAATTAGGATTTCGTTCAATTATTACCTGCCCTCTTTCCGAATGGGCACGCTGGGCAGTTGCCCAGGGGCCCCACAGCGTTGCCCTTGTGCCGAGGCTGACAGGGAAGATCCTTTGATCTCCCCTGCTGGCCCTGTTCACTTGCTGTGGGCCCTCTTGGGGGGGAAAAAGGCCCTTCGTTAGTGAGAAGGAGGTAGGACCTGGGAGACAGAGCGCTCCTCCCGCAAGAATGCTGGTCGGAGCGTTGTTGCGTGTTATTATGGCAACGCTCCAACGCGGCATTCTGCTCGCAAAAGGAATGAAGTGAGCCATAGTGAACTATAGAGATATACTACTCACCACAGGACCACCAGGGCTGGCAATGGCAGTGTCCTTCTCCCCTTCCTTTCCAAAGGTAAGAAGAAGGGTAGGGGGGACATAAAGCATTTCTTTATTTATATTTTATATAATAATAATGAAAAGCAAATATCCATTATCCCTATGCACCCTCCACACACACACACACACACACACACACGTGCGTAACTAGAAACCACGGGGCCCCGGTGCAAAAATTGCCCTGGGGTCCCACCCATACGTCTACTCCCCACACCATACGTCCCCTCACACTCACTTCTCTCCGTCTTGTTTGTGCCTCTGTGCCAAACTCTTAGCTTTTTTGTTTTAGAAATTCCCAAAAAATAGTGCATGCGCTCAGAGAGCTTGTAGTCAATCAATTTTTTTTTTAATGCAGAATATATAGGTAAATGTGTCAACGACTCAGGTCTCAGTCCTTACCGGACTTTTTCAAGTTTCACTTTTTTGATTTTATATTATGTTCCATATATAAATATTTGATGTGAAATGAAAGCCCTGTTTCTCCGTAAGAAAACGATATATAGTAAGAGTGGGAGCACTTAATAAGAGGTGAATTATGGTTGAACAGACTGACGGTCAAACTCTAGGTTTTGTTTTGGTTCAGAACTTGTACAATTGCCTCTGTTCTTAAGGGGTTAACATTCTAATATTTTTTTTTTTATAAATGTTTCACTTTGCATTTTATTTTGATGTCATTACCTAATACAGCTGAGTATTTTTCTATATCGCTATTAAAAAAATGCACTTTATTTCCTGCTTAATATTTTTTTCCTTCTCAGTCTTTAAAATAAACCTTTCTGTGTTTTCCCCACTCAGCTGACTAGATAGTAAACATATTTTTGTGAATGATAATTTACTGCTTTGAAAAGTTCAGGGAGTGCCATACATTATTTATTACATCCCCTGCCTGGCAGTAACATACAAAGGAAACACTTCTGGGACAAGACAACTCATTCTGCTAAAACAATATCAAAATCTACTTTTCCTAACTGAAATCGGTATCCCCTGGGAAGGGATGTCCTATTTTCAAAATGTATTAATATTAATCTTGAATTAAAAAAAAACTATTCGTAAATGATAAAAAAGGACAGAATATTCTATATCGCTATTTAAAACCTACCAAACAGCCACCCTTATTGTCATCAAAGCGCTCACTGCGTTAGAGGTCAGTGATGCTGTTTATCCCCTCCCTTGGACTCGAATGGTTTGACCCATAGCGGTGACGTCATCCTTCAGCTGTTCCAGGCAGAGAAAGAGAGAGGTCTTGGAGAGTTTGAATGTGATGCAGATCAGGGAGACCTGGCATGTGAGAGCGAGGGATGTGTGGGAGCATTCTGCAGCTGGATGGGACTGCTGGCTTCGCTAGGTCTGGAGAGCTGGCTGCACGCTCCCCAATGCTCTTCCCTTTGCTGTTGCCTTTTAGGATAGGGAACTTCTCGCCCTCCTTGCTGCAACATTGAAAACTTTCAATAACCGCCGCCAGTTACTCCCCAACCCCCCTTCTGGGTTGCCTGACCACCGGAGGAAGTGACAACTTATTGCATGAAAGCCATTTCCATGCATCCTGCTCTGACCTGGTAATAGAATCTTAATACTTCAATGCATTCTATACTAACCTGGGAATAGAATCTTTATACCTCAATACATTCTGTACTAACCTGGGAATAGGATATTGATATATATTCTATACTAACCTGGGAATAGGATATTGATATATATATTCTATACTAACCTGGGAATAGGATATTGATATATATTCTATACTAACCTGGGAATAGGATATTGATATATATATTCTATACTAACCTGGGAATAGGATATTCATACATATATTCTATACTAACCTGGGAATAGGATATTGATATATATATTCTATACTAACCTGGGAATAGGATATTCATATATATATTCTATACTAACCTGGGAATAGGATAATAATATATATTCTATACTAACCTGGGAATAGGATATTGATATATATTCTATACTAACCTGGGAATAGGATATTGATATATATATTCTATACTAACCTGGGAATAGGATATTCATATATATATTCTATACTAACCTGGGAATAGGATATTCATATATATATATTCTATGCTAACCTGGGAATAGAATCTTTATACCTCATTACATTCTATACTAACCTGGGAATAGAATCTTTTTACCTCATTACATTCTATACTAACCTGGGAATAGAATCTTTATACCTCATTACATTCTATACTAACCTGGGAATAGAATCTTTATACCTCATTACATTCTATATTAACCTGGGAATAGAATCTTTTTACCTCATTACATTCTATACTAACCTGGGAATAGAATCTTTTTACCTCATTACATTCTATACTAACCTGGGAATAGGATATTGATACATTCTGTACTAACCTGGGAATATAATCTTTTTACCTCATTACATTCTGTACTAACCTGGGAATAGGATATTGATACGTCATTACGTTCTATATTGACCTGATAATTAATTATTGATATTGCAGCGCGTTCTGTACTGACAGGTCAATAATGGACGTAAAGACAGGACAGTAGCTTCACTGCGAAAGTCCCTCCTCTGGGGACTAATGGGTTAAAAAGCTTAGTTTCGTGATCATGGGCAAACAAACAGCAATTAAAGCGTTAACTAGTCAACCTAACCCTAGTATACATTAACCATTAGAAGCTATATATAGTCCTTCCAACTGATCCCAGAGGTGTCCCTTTAATGTATTGTTACTGGGCAAAGGGTGTTTAGGTCCTGGGAAAAATGTGATTCTATTTTTTGTTTTTTTTGTTTTGTTAATAAGAGGTAAAGAGTAGTACCCTGTTAGCGGTATAAAAAAGTAGATGGGTATAGTCCGTGTTCTGATTAAACATCCCATTTGATCACTGTCAAAGTTTGGTAGGGCGATACATGGTTTTTAATATACATCTAATAATTGTAACGTTATTTCAACAAGATAAATGTCGATGACCTGTTGCTGCAGCTTTGTCTTGTTTTCTTATATGTTTGACATTTGTCACGCACATTGTGCAAAACCTTGCTCCACATCCGCTGGCACCCCCATTAACTTGGTTTGATTTGCATTGTTTTGCTTTGCAAATTGAACTTACACATCAGCACACACGCATGCCCAAGGTTAACCCTTTTGAGTTCATTTATACAAATGCTTTGAGATCATGTCGATGTTGTCCATAAATGGGACCCCTGGTTTTGGAAATAGTTCAGTTCTCATGACAAATGTACATGACAACAATTGCAGAGCCAGGTTTGGAAGGATGAGCATGTGGGCAGTCCACCAGCTTTCTGAGATCTAAAGGCTGTCTGTGAACCAGAGAAGGAAGGACTTGTTCATGCAGTATTGTTTTTGATTTCTTTTGTGTGGTGAATTTGGGTTTGGTGAGTTTAACCCCTTAAGGACCAAACTTCTGGATTAAAAGGGAATCATGACATGTCACACATGTCATGTGTCCTTAAGGGGTTAAAGATGATTCAATTGTTCCTAGAGTTGACCTCCCGCCCCCGCACCCCCCATCAACTTGTTTCATATACAGAGCAGGGCCTGTTACCAAGCTACAGCCATTTAGATGCTATCACCACACTTATCAAACCTGTTGATTGTGTTTGTTATGTATTTAGTATTGTCTTTGTTTTAAAGAAGATTTGTTTGGAGAGCTAATTACATAACAGATGTAATCGTATTATGGGGTACACAGACTGCCCATCGAATTCACATGGTACATCAGGGGTTCAGGAGGGGGGTGGCTTGTCTGGACTTGTTTGAAACAGGTGTCTAAAAATTCTCAGTTAACACCCCAAAACCTCTTGCATGCCAGTGTTTAATAAGCCAGCACTTCTTCAAACTCTGATTTCAATTTGTTGTTTTTTGTTTTTTTATTATTCCTAGGAAATCTGACAGTGAAATGGTTACTACTGTCTCCACTCCAGTGTGTTCAGTTTTTCCCCACATTGCTGTTATTTAGCACTGAATTATTTATGTGATCCTGACTTTCTGCTAGTGTTTGCTGATGAGTCTTCTCCGTGTATAAATTATAAGGATAATTTGTGGTAACTGAGATGTGCAATATGTTCTCCAATTACAGTACTCTTCTGATATATTACACACCCTGATTCATTTTGTTCCATTATAAATGTTCCCTGACATTATACTTTATAGCTGTATTTATGAGGGAAAAAAAAATTGTACCATTTTATGGAGCACAACCCCTATCACTGCTTGCTGTAATGCTCAGCACTATGGGGAATGTATTAAACACTCATCTGGTGTACCAAGGTTATGGCTAACCTCCCAGCTCATACTGTGGGGGTATGTGACACCCAATTCTAATTCTGTATTTCTGAACACTTCTTGGTCCAGTTCTTTATCTGGCATTGTGAAGTTTTTGGGAAAGTGCGGTCCGATAAATGTTTTCAGTTTGCTGTTTGTGAGAGAGCATGTTTTACACTTCACAGATTTAATGTCATGTGTGACTGTTGATCAGACAGCCACTAGTGGCACTTCCTCATGAAGACTTTCAATTATTGAACGTTTTTATATTCTGAGTGTGACAAGTGCTGTGGATGCTCACTAGACCCCCAGTGCTTCACTATGGGATGCGTTGCATTAAACCAAATATCTTCTTTATGGGTGAACAGCTGCCTGCTGGAAAATGCCCAGAACACTTTTTACTTTGTATCCCACTTTGTTTACCACTTTTTACTTTGTTTTAAAAAGGGAAGGTGACATGTCTGCCTAGTGCGACACACTCTAACATTAATGGAACACTATAGTGTCAGGAATTCATTCATGATACTATAGTGTTTAACTAGTTATGTGACCGCCCCTCTCCGGTAACTGGCTCCTTCTCCATGGCTGAGTTTACCAAGCATGATTATAGGAAAGCATCGGGAGGCTATTGCGCATGCGTGACAAAATGCCACGCTGCACTAGTCAGCAAGTTCTCGTAGAGGTGCATTCAATCCATGCATAGTGTAGAGATACTGAATGCCAGTGCTGAACTAGGAAGCCCCTCAAGTGACTGGCAATAGAGGTTACTAGGCAGCAATGTAAACACAGCCTTTTATCCGAAACCATAACCAATATATTAACTGTAGTGGTTCTGGTGACAATTGTGTCCATTTTACTGTTGTTTTGAAAACTCATGTACCCAACAGCTAATTGTCTGACGTCTTACAATAATGCTAAATCGGAGTCCGTTATTTTTTTTTTTCCAAACGGAATTTATAAGTCAGTTGTGATGTCCACAGTTATGGCCATCCTATCCCTGGTATGAGACATGTTCTCTGAAAGAACTTAAGATATGAAAATATTTCCAGCACATCCTTATGAAGCAGTGTTCCTAACTACACTACTACAAAAGCCTGACTGCGACAGTAGTAAAGATCGAAATGTTGCATTTGTACATCTTGGGCGCTTCAGTAAAGGGACACTGCTTCATAAGGATGTGTTGGAATTGTTTTCTTGATCTCTGGATGTATGCTGGTTTGGGCCAAACCGGAATCCTTGCACCCTTATTGGTAGGTGCTTTTTCCTCTTTTTTTGTGTGACATGTCATGATTCCCTTTTATTCCAGAAGTTTGGTCCTTAAGGGGTTAAAGAACTTGTCACTTATAGAAATAGAAACCAAATGTTGAATATGTTACGCATAATATAAGCAAAGTAAGCTTCTCAACTGCAGAAGATATAATGCTAACCTAAAAGAGCAGAGTCTGACACCTTTTGTAGGGGGTGGGATCGGTTATATAACTAGATCTTATTTATTTTCTGAGGATATAAGATCTTTTTCTCGCATTGTGATTTGCTTTGTATGATGTGCCATCCATATCTGACAGTTGCATTGTTCTTTATAATTTATTGCATGCCAGATGTGGTAAGGACCTGCTCAGATGGTGGTACAGCAATTACAGTAGACCTATTCTCCAGTGAGACACTTGTCTGCTGCTGTACACCCTGAGGACAATCAGTAGGGTTAATTCCAAGGACATCTTTAAAACAGCCACCTGGCACAGAAAGTTTCTTCCCATATCAAGCTAGTAATTCGTTGGCCACAGAACTATCAGTTAGTGCCAAACTTGGCTTGGCTCGTTATGATCTTCATGTCAGCGTGGGAATGGCCGCAGCTGATGAAGAGGTTTGGCATGTTAGAGTAATCATTTCTTACTTTAAACATCAGTTTTCCCAGCTACCTGTCCATTAAACTCTACGTGGTGCCTGGTTGTACTGTTTATTCTATAGTTTTGTGGCTGCTGTATACCACAGACTCTGCTACATTAAGTAATACTCATACAATCACTCTACTATTGACACTTTTAGACTTCCTCTGCTTGTATCCCACAATTTGATACAGTTGCTTCTATACTGCTACAGCCCTCTCTCCACCCTCTCCTACTGGTATTCATTCCTTTCTTGCTGCACCCACTCCTATATTTGTCCTAATTCCTGTATCTATGCTGAACCCCATTATAACCTTGAAATACACAGTTGCTCTTCCCAGCTCCCTCGCCCTACCAAGAACTTCCAGGAACTGTGAAGGAACCGATAATGTATTAACTCAGTCCCCCATTGTTCGTATTAGGTTATAGGACTGATCCATCTGTATTTCTTCCCTGTTATTATCTTGGTGTATATATTCAATGTAATGCTACCTTGATGTGTATCTTCAATATAAGAAACCTTAAAGGTCTAATCCTACAATTAAATAAATAAATAAATCTGTTAAAAGGAATTTCTTTTATTAAATTTAATTAAGAAGAAAATCTCAAACTTATTGGATTGAAAATTCCCCAAATTATGGGCGTAACAGTCCAACAAATTAATGCGATTTGATACCCAGTGTGATAGATCTGTTGGTGGGTAATACTAAGTTGTCTCATTTGCAGGTTCACAGCAAAGTATTCTTTGATTATTTTATCAGTCAATAAAATCCATACCATTAGTGGCTCTGTCATTGGCTGTGACTAATATAAATAATTTTATATAATTTTTTAAATATTCCCCCCCGCCCTTACCACACGCTGTGCCCTCACAGTCCCATCAATGTTGGTCTCACTGTCCTGCGTCTTTTCAACTTTTGTTCAATCTTTTGTCTCTATCCCAGATGTTTTCCAGCCACTGCCATCTTCTACAGGCTGGCAGAGACGTTGGCTCTTTGCCTTTGTTTGCCCTACCTCTTGCATGCGTATCAGACTTTGCACATGTGCACTGCCTCTATCTACTGGACTGGTCATGCATGAGACACTCTAGATATGTGACCCAAGGGACTTGAAGGACCGTTAAAGGAACACTATAAGGTCAGAAACACAAATGTGTATTCCTGATCCTATAGTGTTAAAATCACTATTTATCCCCCCTGGCCACCACTTGCCCCCATAAATATATTAAAGCCTTACCTTATTTCCAGGCAGTGCAAGTCTGCCAACCCTGGCCCTGTCCCTGCCCCAATCCACCTCCTTGACTGTCATCATCAGAAGTGATGATCTCAGCCAATTCATAGGAAAGCACTGGATTGGCTAAGATTGTCAATTCTGATGATCTCAGTCATGTAGGCGGGGAGGAGGCGGAGTCAAACATTGCCATCTCATCATACAGATGTATTAAATCAATGCATCTCTATGAGGAAAGTTCAGTGTCTCCATGCAGAGGGTGGAGCCACTGAATTTCATTCCTGCACACTGTGCAGGAATGCCCCAGGAAGCATTTCTAGTAGCCATCTGAGGAGTGGCCACTAGAGGTGTCCCTAGGCCAGCGGTTCCGAAAGTGTGGGTCGCGCTGACCCACACATCCAGGGCCGCAGGGGACTCGAGCAAGCAGACTGACACCAGGAGGGAGCCCGGCGGCTTGCCCTGTATGCCGCCGGGCTCCCTCCAATCAGTCTGCCCAGCAGCTCCGGTCTGCAGCTCCGCCGGGTGCAGAGCTGCAGACCATGTGATAGAAGTCTCGCGAGCTCCCAGAGCATTACCATGGCAACACTCTGGGAGCTCGCAAGACTTTTATTACATGGTCTGCAGCTCTGCACCCGGCGGAGCTCAGACCGGAGAGTTACCCCACTGGACCACCAGGGAGACACTGTACCACCAGGGAATTCAGGTAGGACATAGCCCCCAGACAACCCCCTCCCCCCATGTAACCCCTTCACCCCCTGCCCCCCATGTAACCCCTTCACTCCCTGCCCTTCCCCATGTAACCCCTTCACTCCCTGCCCTCCCCAGCGTAACCCCTTCACCTGCCCTCCCTCCCAATATAACCCCTTCACCCTGCCCCTTCCCCCAATGTAACCCCTTCACTCCCTGCCCTCCCACACTGTAACCCTTCACTCCATGCCCCCTCCCCACACTGTAATATTTCTCCTTCTCACTCCCTGCCTTCCCCACATGTAACCCCTTCACTCCCTGCCCTCCCCACACTGTAACCCCTTCACTCCCGGCCCCCCTCCCCACACTCTAACCCATTCACTCCTGGCCCCTCCCACTGTAACCTTTTCTCCCCTGCCCCCACTGTAGCCTTTTCTCCCCCTTGCCCCCCACACTGCAACCTCTTTCCCCTGCCTCCCACTGTAACCCTTTCTCACTTTGCCCTCACACTGCCCCCTACACTGTTACCAGCACACACACTCCCTCCCACACTGTCACCCTCACCTCTCCCACACAGTCACCCTCACCTCCTGTCTCTGTGTGTATGTGTATCTGTGTGTCCTTTTGTGTCACTGTGTGTGTATTTGTGTGTCTGTGTGTATTGTGTGTCAGTGTGTATCTGTGTACATGAGTGTCTGTGTATCTATGTGTGGGAAACTAGGTGTCATGGTGTGTATTCCTGTATCAGGGTATGTATTTGTGTGTGTGTGTGTCTCTGTATGTGTGTGTATATGTGTATACACTTCACACATACTCCATACAAAAAAACATGCTTACATTCAAACACACATTTGTATACATGTGTATATGTATACTTTATAAACATAATACACACACTTCATCCACTACACACGTACTGCAAACGCAAACATTACATACAAACACACCCCGGCATTAAAACACTAAAATTATCTACAAACACCCCTTCATTCAAACACCAACACTCAAAAACCACACCTGCATTTCAAGTCCGACACTACATACAAACACCCATGCATTCAGACGCAATCATTACAAACAAGTACACCACTACATTCCAATGGCAACAGTACATACAAATACACCCATACATGCACACATATACTTAATACAAAAACATGCTTACATTCAGACGCTCAAACACTGCTCACAAATATAACCCTGCAATGACAAGAAAATGGTAGATCCCCATCTGGTATAGCATTGTTGAAGTTCTCCGACAGATGGAGATCTACATTTTGGCCACACTTGCACTAGAGGGGGGCCCAGAAAACATATTTGCACCAGGGCACTCTCTACATTAGTTCCACCACTGGGATAATCAATGTGAGGTGCCTGGATGAAAGAGCAGGACACAGCACTTCTGATTCTAAGTCTGTGAGTAAGCAGTTGTATGTCTCTAAAACTGATTGCCATGATGTGCAAAGTTTCTGCCTCTAAAACTGCCATGATATCCCAGAACTATGCCTCTAAAACTGATTGCCATGGTGTGCCAATTTTATGCATCTGACTGTTTGCCATGGTATGCCAATTGTATGCCTCTGAAGCTGATTGCCATGATGTGCCAAGTTTATGCATCTAAAGCTTATTGCCATGCTGTGCCAAGTTTATGTATTTAAAGCTGCCATGATGTTCCAATTTTATGCCTCTAAAACTGATTGCCACGATGTTCTGAATTTATGCCTCTAAAGCTGGTTGCCATGGTGCCAATTGTAAGCCTCTAAAACTGATTGCCATGGTGTTCCAATTGTATGCACCTAAAGTTGCCATGATGTGCCAAGTTTATACATCTAAAACTGATTGCTATGGTGTGCCAATTGTATGCCTGTAAAGCTGATTGCCATGGTGTGCCAGTTGTATGCATCTAAAGCGGATTCCTATAGTGTGCCAATTGTATGCCTCTAAAGCGGTTTGCCATGGTGTGCCAGTTTTATGCCTCTAAAAGTAATTGTCATGGTGTGCCAATTGTGTGCATCTAAAGCGGATTGCTATGGTGTGCAAATTGTATGCCTCTAAAGCTGATTGCCATGGTGTTCACTTTTTAAAATATGCATTAAAAGCAAGTGGGTCTCGAAAAATTACCGTTTTGAAAAGTGGGTTTCGGCCCTTAAAAGTTTGGGAAGCCCTGCCCTAGGCTGTAATGTAAACTCTGACTTTTCTGCAATGACTGTAGTTGTTCTGGTGACTATAGTGTCCCTTTAAGTAGTATGGGGAAATTTATCTTGACAAAGACTTGAAGAGAATATGTAAGTAAAAATAATTCCTCCTTTCCCTATGTATTTTAAAAGGCATAAAATGTATATGAAAAAATAAAATAAAAAATAAAAAATGGATTGACGGCAGGGAACCAAACGATATCAAAGATAAGTTTGAGGTGACAGAGGTGCTTTAAGTTGGTAATAATATCATTGTTGTAAAAAAGCTAAATGTACAATCTTGGGTTAAAATAGCACACTTGCCACCACAACCAATGCAACTTAAAGGACCACTCTAGGCACCCAGACCACTTCAGCTTAATGAAGTGGTCTGGGTGCCTGGTCCAGCTAGGGTTAACCCATTTTTTCATAAACATAGCAGTTTCAGAGAAACTGCTATGTTTATGAATGGGTTAAGCCTTCCCCCTAATCCTCTAGTGGCTGTCTCATTGACGGCCACTAGAGGCGCTTGCGTGCTTCTCACTGTGATTTTCACAGTGAGAGCACGCCAGCGTCCATAGGAAAGCATTATGAATGCTTTTCTATGTGACCGGCTGAATGCGCGTGCAGCTCTTGCCGCGCGTGCGCATTCAGCCGACGGGGAGGAGAAGAGGAGGATCGGAGGAGGAGAGCTCCCCGCCCAGCGCTGAAAAAAGGTAAGTTTTTACCCCTTTTCCCCTTTCCAGAGCCGGGTGGGAGGGGGACCCTGAGGGTGGGGGCACCCTCAGGGCACTATAGTGCCAGGAAAACGAGTATGTTTTCCTGGCACTATAGTGGTCCTTTAATGTAGTGGTTCTGGTGCAAAGAGACTGTCCCTGTATTAATGCAAACCCTGCCTTTTCTAAAAAAAGGCAGTGTTTACCGTATGTTTGTTATTCTATTTAGTATAATTATTTGTCATATCTATAAGTATTGACTACATTCTAGAATGTAAAAGCAAATATTATTCGTGGCTTTTGTGTGGATCATGGGTTTTCTGGTTATGATCTTCGTTTTCCTGCCTGCCTAACCTTTTTACATGCATATAAGCAATTGAAGGTTAAAGCCTCCTTTTTAACTTAACATTCTCTCAGCACACTAATTGGCATGTGACATGATCAAAGGAGGTTATTATGCTTCAAACAAGATTTTGTTTACCCTTTTCAAATGTATATCCAAGTAAGTCTGTGCAGATGGTCCAACACTTCTTAAAGAGATACTCAACTGCTCAAATATGTAATAAAAAACACTATTTAGTAGATATACACCAATGAGAACAAACATGCATTTCATTATGAATTCATTCACGTGGGCATTAAAAACATCTTGCAAAAGCTGCAGATTGTCAGGATCGTGACAGGGATCCAACACGCAGAATACAAACAGGAGATAGGTACGTATACCGGACCTTAGAATGGCCGGACTAACGTAAGTAGAAAGCAAAGAATGGTCAGAGACAAGCCGAGGTCGAGGGAACGAGAGAGTAGGTAAGCGAGAGACAAGCCGAGTCAAAAGGACAAGAGAGGAAAGCAGGGTCAAAAATACAAGCCGAGTCAGGAACCAAAAGACAATAGAGGTAAGAGCACTGAGTGACCAGACTAGCTAGAACCACGACAGGGCAATGAATCATTCCACAAAACCCTCTTTTATACCTTGGCTCTTTAACTGTTGGCCCCGCCCCCAACAAGTCCTGATTCGTTGTTCGGCACTTGGTTGCCGTGATTGACGGGTCGGAACGTGATTGCCGTCATGACGTCGGCTACTGAGCGCCGCGTCATAAAAGGAGGCGGAGCTATCGCGGCCGGCGTGTAAACGACCGGGAGGAGTGCAAGGATCGGGTGAGTCAGCCCCCCTGGGAGGATGGACGTCTAGGTGTCTAACCTCCTCCGAGGTAGACACCAAAGGTACCCTGACAGTACCCCCCCTCTCAGAAACGCCCACCGGGCGGAAGGAACCGGGGCGGGACGGAAAACGAGCATGAAATGCCCGGAGGAGACGAGGGGCATGCACATTTTCATGGACCACCCAAGACCTTTCTTCAGGCCCATACCCCTTCCAGTCAACAAGATATTGCAACTTCCCCCGAGAAATACGAGAATCGAGAATGGATTTGATTTCATATTCCTCCTGACCCTCAACCTGGACAGAGAGAGGGGAGGACTCAGCGGAGGAAAATCTGTTACAAACCAAAGGCTTCAACAAAGAAACATGAAAAGAGTTAGGGATGCGCAGGGCAGGCGGAAGGGCAAGACGATACGCAACCGGGTTAATCCGACACAGAACCTTGTAAGGGCCTATGTAACGAGGGGCAAATTTCATGGAAGGAACCTTCAAGCGGATGTTTCTGGTACTCAACCACACCTTATCACCCGGGGCAAAAACCGGAGCCACCCGTCTCCGTTTGTCAGCGTGTCGTTTGAACACCGTGGAATTCTGAAGAAGAATTCGTCGAGTCTGATCCCACAACTTTCTCAGATTGGCGACATGAACATCAACCGACGGTACCCCTTGGGAAGGGGAAACCGACGGAAGAATGGAAGGATGAAAGCCATAATTCAAAAAAAAGGGGCTAGAACGAGTAGAATCACAAACGAGATTGTTGTGCGCAAACTCTGCCCAAGGAATCAGACCAACCCAATCGTCCTGGTGTTCAGAAACAAAACAACGCAAATATTGTTCAATCTTTTGGTTGGTGCGTTCGGCAGCTCCGTTGGACTGGGGATGATAGGCAGATGAGAAATTCAACTTGATGCCTAAGTGAGAACAGAAAGACTTCCAAAAGCGGGAAACAAATTGGGAACCTCTATCAGAAACAATTTCAGAGGGAATACCATGTAAACGAAAAATCTCCCTCGCGAATATCTCAGCTAATTCGGGAGACGAGGGCAGTTTAGGCAAGGGCACGAAATGAGCCATTTTAGTAAACCTGTCAATCACCGTGAGAATAACAGTATGTTTTTTAGAAACAGGCAAATCGACAATGAAGTCCATAGCCAAACAGGACCATGGTCTCTCGGGAATTTCTAAGGGGTGCAAAAGCCCACATGGGAGCGCATGAGGTTGCTTAGTCTTCATACAGACAGCACATGCCCCGACGAAATCCCTTATATCCTTACGAAAAGAAGGCCACCAGAAATCTTTAGAAATCAGGGAACACGTTTTGCGTATGCCGGGGTGCCCAGCAACTTTACTGTCATGAAAGCAATGCAGCAGTTCCACTTGGAGCTCAGGAGGAACGAAGTACCGAGCCCCAGGAACAGATTTGGGAGCTAGATGTTGTACTTTCTTGATCTCAGCAAGCAACGGCGAGTGTATCCTGACACACGTGTTGGCAATAATATTACACTTGGGAACGATAGAAGACAAAGCTGCTTCAGACACCGTAGAAGGTTCATGTTGGTGGGACAATGCATCTGCCTTAGAGTTCTTAGAACCAGGTCTATAAGTGAGCACGTAATTGAAATGTGTAAGGAACAAGGACCAACGAGCTTGCCTGGCGGACAAGCGCTTGGCCTCCCCTATATAGGACAAATTCTTGTGATCCGTCAAAATAGTAACCGGGTATAAAGTCCCTTCCAACAAATGTCTCCATTCCTTTAAAGCCATAATGACCGCTAACAGTTCCCTGTCACCAATGTCATATCTACTTTCAGGCCCAGATAATTTCTTGGAAAAAAAACCACATGGATGTAACGGTTTATCCAAACCTAGCCTTTGGGACAAGATAGCGCCTATACCTGTCTCCGAGGCGTCTACCTCGAGTAGAAAAGGCAAAGAGGTGTCAGGATGAACTAATATCGGTGCTGAGGCAAAATGTTCTTTGAGTGTTTTGAAAGCAGAGAGAGCCTCTGTAGACCAAGTCTTGGTATCAGCACCCTGTCTAGTCATATTGGTAATAGGAGCAATAATAGAAGAGTAACCTTTAATGAAGCGCCTATAATAATTGGAGAATCCGATAAACCTCTGAATGGCCTTGAGTCCCCTGGGCAATGGCCAATCTAAAATCGATTGGAGTTTAATGGGGTCCATCCTAAATCCGTCTCCAGAAATAACGTAGCCAAGAAAGTTTATCTGAGATTGGTCGAAGCTACACTTTTCCAATTTGCAGTACAATCCATGTTGTAACAGTTTGCGCAATACCCTTCTGACTTGTCTGTGGTGAGTCTCAATCTCTCTAGAGTGTATTAGTATATCATCCAAATATACTATAACGCATTCATGCTGAAATTCCCTAAGAACCTCATTAATTAGGTCCTGGAATACTGCAGGTGCATTGCAAAGCCCGAAGGGCATTACCGTGTATTCATAGTGGCCATAACGGGTATTGAAAGCTGTTTTCCATTCGTCTCCCTGCTGAATTCTCACCAAGTTATAAGCTCCCCTCAGATCTAACTTGGTAAAAATCTTGGAGCCTTTCAGTCGATCAAAGAGCTCAGTAATCAAAGGAATAGGATAAGCATTTCTAATAGTTATCTTATTCAAGCCCCGATAATCAATGCAAGGCCGTAGAGTGCCGTCTTTTTTATCCACAAAAAAGAAACCGGCCCCGGCCGGAGAAGAAGATCTCCTAATAAATCCTTTGTCTAGGTTTTCACGTATGTATTCCTCTAGGACTAAGTTCTCCTTAGTGGATAAAGGATATACCGTACCCCTCGGAGGCATAGTACCAGGCAGGAGTCTAATTTTACAGTCGAAGGACCTATGTGGAGGTAAAGTATCAGCCTTCTTTTTGTCAAAGACTGCCTTTAAATCCAGGTACTGAGACGGTATCTGTAAATCTGTAGATTGGGAAGAGTTAACCGGGGCGTCAACTATGCAAACCGGTGAGACTTTCTGTAAACATCCTCTCTGGCAACCCTGACCCCAGGAGACTATCTCACCCAGTTCCCAGTCAATAGTAGGGTTATGCTTCTTAAGCCAGGGATACCCCAAGACTATTGGAACTGAAGGAGATGAGATCAGCATGAGGGATATTCTTTCCTCGTGTAGGATACCAATGGTTAACTTAATTGGTATGGTTTCACGAAAAATAACAGGTTCAGATAATGGTCTACCATCTATGGCCTCAACGGCCAAGGGTGTATCCCTTAGCTGAGATGGGATAGAATGGTTAGTGACAAAGGCTTGGTCAATAAAGCTTTCAGCTGCTCCGGAATCTATCAAAGCCATAGCATTAAGTACTCCCTTTTCCCAAGCTAAAGAAACAGGTATCAGAAGCCTATGATCTTTATAATCATATATAGAGGACAAGATAGAAACACCCAAGGCCTGTCCTCTTGAGAAACTTAGGTGCGAGCGTTTCCCGGCCGGTTAGGGCAATTTAGGCGTAGGTGACCTCTTATTCCGCAATACATACAAAGCCCCTCCCTTCTCCTGTACTGTCTTTCCTCTTCTGAGAGTCGAGTGTTACCTATTTGCATAGGTTCTGGGAGAGCTAAAGTAGTAGAATCAGAACTCTGAAATGAGGGAGCTAGTCTTATGGAGGATCTGCGGGTTCTATCCCGAGTATTCTGCCTCTGTCTCATACGTTCATCTATTCGGGAAATAAATGAAATCAAATCCTCCAAATTTTCAGGAAGTTCTCTTGTGGCAACCTCATCTAGAATCTCATCAGATAACCCGTTTATAAATACGTCCATATAAGCCTGTTCATTCCACTTGACTTCTGCCGCCAAGGATCTGAACTCTAACGCATAATCCACGAGGGTTCGGTTATACTGTCTAAGACGTAACAGTAGTCTAGCTGCATTGGCCTTTCTTCCTGGGGGGTCAAAAGTTCTCCTAAATGCAGCGACAAAAGCATTATAATTGTAAACTAACGGGTTATCATTTTCCCACAGGGGGTTAGCCCATCTAAGTGCTTTGTCAATGAGCAACGTGATTATAAATCCAACCTTCGCCCTGTCAGTAGGGTAGGCGTGGGGTTGTAACTCAAAATGAATACCTATCTGGTTTAAAAAGCCTCGACAAGTGTCAGGAGAGCCGCCATAGCGTGAAGGGGAAGTAACACGGGAAGAAGCACCCACTGTGGCTACTTCTAGGCCTGTACTTACAGGGGAGATAGATGGGGTACGCATCTCCTCTGAGTGATTACTAGGACGAGATAGCAACGCTTGCAGAGCTAGAGCCATCTGGTCCATTCTATGATCCATGGCCTCAAATCTAGAGTCAGGAGAACCGACCTGAGAGTTTGTACCTGCAGGATCCATTGGCCCTGTCGTAATGTCAGGATCGTGACAGGGATCCAACACGCAGAATACAAACAGGAGATAGGTACGTATACCGGACCTTAGAATGGCCGGACTAACGTAAGGAGAAAGCAAAGAATGGTCAGAGACAAGCCGAGGTCGAGGGAACGAGAGAGTAGGTAAGCGAGAGACAAGCCGAGTCAAAAGGACAAGAGAGGAAAGCAGGGTCAAAAAATACAAGCCGAGTCAGGAACCAAAAGACAATAGAGGTAAGAGCACTGAGTGACCAGACTAGCTAGAACCACGACAGGGCAATGAATCATTCCACAAAACCCTCTTTTATACCTTGGCTCTTTAACTGTTGGCCCCGCCCCCAACGAGTCCTGATTCGTTGTTCGGCACTTGGTTGCCGTGATTGACGGGTCGGAACGTGATTGCCGTCATGACGTCGGCTACTGAGCGCCGCGTCATAAAAGGAGGCGGAGCTATCGCGGCCGGCGTGTAAACGGCCGGGAGGACTGCGAGGATCGGGTGAGTCAGCCCCCCTAGGAGGATGGACGTCTAGGTGTCTAACCTCCTCCGAGGTAGACACCAGAGGTAACCTGACACAGATCTCTTGTGGCTGTCCAATCACAGACTTTCCAATGCTGCTGATCGACAAGTTTTTGCAAGGCAGGTGCTCAGGCTCTTTAGTTTTGCTCCACTAATCTAAAAACAAACCAGGAAGTAACAGAACAGTTGTCTGATTGGCGGGAGGGGGTGTTACAATGTTTTTTAAACTGGCAATTTGATATTGAAATCTGCACTTTTTTTTGTAAAATGTAAGACACTCTTCACACATAAAGCACTTCAGCATGCTAAAGTGCTTCAGGGGTTTGGATTGTTCCTTTAATTTTGCCAAGTTAAAAAAACCCAAACGTTTAATTTGATCATTGTATCTTGCAGACATAAAAAAACTACAATGTATTGGAGTGTGGCTTCCTAAGCCAGTAATGGTTTGCTTTCGGCATGATTGCATAAGGTCAGTCATTTAGATTTTAGACTGATACAGTTCATTCAAACAGGCTCATTGTATTATCGGCTTGCTGCTTTATTTCCTGGTCCAGTCTGTCTGTCTATACATTAATTGGTGATTAGCTAGCCATAGATTACTCTCGTGTTTCATTATTATTATTATTACCATTTATTTAGCACCAACAGATACCGTAGTGCTTTACAATAGAGAGGGGGGATTTAACTAAAAATCAGACAATTACAAGATAGGTTGAAGAGGACCCTGTTCAAACGAGCTTACAGTCTATAGGAGGTCGGGTATAAAACACATTAGGACAGGAACGTTGTTAGTCATCCTAATGGGTTTTGATTTTGTGCTACTGAAAAAGTGGGTTGGGTGAAATCGTTCCCAAGCTCTTATACATTACTTGCCAAGCATTGGTTTATTGGGACCAAATGGGGAATTATGTTGATTTAAACCTTGAATTTATAACCATTATCCATTATTTGTGCCAGAAAAGTTAATATAGCTGAATTGTAGTAGTTTTTTTTATTATTATTTTTTTTTGTACTTATTTAATAATATCTGTTTAATTTAATTTGCTTGACTCTACTTCTACCTCTGTCACCTGGCATCAATCATGCCACCTCTTCATTTCTCTTCTCGGGTGCTCTGCTGATAGAGAAGCATTGGCTTGTCAGCCTTGTTAGATTAAATGTCCGCTGATACTCCGCCTATCACTGTCCTTGTATTGTAATTAATAGTATGTACTATTATTCAAAATGGGAGGCCAGTGATAGGCTGAGTCTTTAAGGTAAGAAAGATGGCACTCCGGGGAAATGAAGTTGGTTGATGGGGCTGCAGTGTTATTTGCCAGTAAACTTGCCTTTATAACAATCTCTTCTCCTAGGCCTTATGGTGAAATCATAAATTCTTACGACGATTGTCCACTTAGATGGTTTTCTTAAAGAAGCAATGCGGACACAAGGAACATGTACGGCAATCGCTGTGATCCACTAATTCAATGCTTCTTCATGAGATGTACTGTATGCAATGCTTCTCGTAGAGCAGTACCCGACACACGGAGCATACGTTTTACATATTGACACCAGGGCTCAAATAGGTTCAATAATGTAGTCTATATTGTATTCTGAAACCCTTAGGGGTAGTCTGTTTGACAGCCTCTAGTGGATGCAGAAACTGATTTGCAAGGCTGCAGCAGCAGTATCCGTGTCCAAAATAAATTCATTAAGATATCACTTTAATTTGATAGATGAAATGTCTAGAGTAAATCAAGATGTTGATTTAATTATTTGGTAAAACCGTATATTAAGGAATTTCAAATGCGTAAGTAGGTTCTGTGTGTGTGTGTCTGTGTGTGTGTATATATATATATATATATATATATATATATATATATATATATATATATATATATATATATATATATATATATATATATATATATATATAAAAAGTCTAATTATGCTCTTGACAGGGAGAGCTTTTTCACTCCTCTCTATTGGCTGAATGATAGTGATGTCCCGAACTGTTCGGCGAACATATGCGGTAAACTTTGACCCTGTACCTCACAGTCAGCAGACACATTCCAGCCAATCAGCAGCAGACCCTCCCTACCAGACCCTCCTCCTGGACAGCTCACTAAGAATGCAGCTTCACAATGAATGTAAAATGGATGCTGTCCAGGAGATGGGAGGGTCTGGGAGGGAGGGTCTGCTGCTGATTGGCTGGAATGTGTCTGCTGCCTGTGAGGTACAGGGTCAAAGTTTACTCAATGATGAGTCCGTGGCAAACAGTTCGGCGAACAGTTCGGGAAATCACTACTGAATGTGTGTGTGTGTGTGTGTGTGTGTGTGTATATATGTATATATATATATATATATATGTATGTATGTATGTATGTATGTGTGTGTATATATATATATATATATATATATATATATATATATATATATATATATATATATATATATATATATATATATATATATATATATATATATATATATATATATAGCTTAAGCCAAAGAGGTAAGTTTGGTACTCCTAAAACCATACAATCTATGGATGGATGACATTGGACAGAAAAGGTGGGGGCCAGACACAGCCTAAAGGCTGACTGTGCATCTTGGGAAATATAGTTAACTGTTATCCAAGGTGCTAAGGCTATCCGTCATTGACGTAAGGGATAACTCCATTGCTTGATATTGCCTGGCTGATGTTTAGTTCTGAAAAGTAACTAAGTGATTATTAATAACATAACCCTTAATTAATTTTATTTATTTTTCTTTTCTAGTTTTATACTAATTACTGTATTATATCTATAGAACAGACATCATTCAGTTTTAAACTGTAGTGAGACAGGGATAGTATGCAAGGAAACAACAGATTGTAAAGAGAAGCTCCGTGAAATGTCGTTAAGGAGAACAGATGTATCCATTGGTTAGCTTCTATTTGAAAAATGCAGCCGTTCATGGCTACCCCTTTTATTTGAAACTTATGCTGATGACAACCTGTTGATTAACCCCTGTTGAGTCACTTTCCTCAAGTCCCTTGCTAGACCGTTCATTTTCTCTTCCGTCTGTGAATTGCTGGCAATGAACTTGTTAAAGATTGTCCCCATTAGACTCCCTTCATATGAATAACTAATGGATCTGCATCCTTTGTCTACACAGATCTGACATTCAGCTGGGGCGACAGGTCAAAGCAGTGGGTGGAGTGGAGTTAAAGTTTGGGCTCGTCATTCAGCCAATAGAGAGGAGTGAAAAAGCTCACCCTGTCAAGAGCACAATTAGACTCTCTTTTTAATTTCAGTTTTGCAGAGTGCAAAGGGGGCAACGCGGGAAGGCTTATGAATAAACATCACCCACCACTCACACACATTCATACATCAAATTCAAGCACTTGTTAAATCCACTCTTTGAGAGTTTTCTCCCAGTAAAGGCGAGGAAATAAGATATTTTTCCGTCTGCAGTGACAGCTATAGCATTAAAAGACTGGGGGCCCACAGGGGCTACTGATGATGTATGATATTAGCATCTCATTAAATTCTAGGCATTTTTGGAATGGTTTTAAAATCATCCAAATGTAATTTAACGTATAATTATTTTATAATCAAGTTCTCTGGATAATTGGAATTAGTGTAAAAATAAATATATATATATATATTTTCCTACCTATATAATGCCTGTGGCTCTCCATCTGTTAATGAAAGTGGCTCTTAAACAACAGGAGACACAGGCTGGTCACCAAATTCTAAACTTTATCTTGTCTGCTTTCTCAGGTTCTCATGTGTTCATAAACTACATAAAGAAAACTTGGAACTACTTTACTAATGTACAGCAGTCAAGTGGACAAAGCTTGATAATGGGTGGGTATGAAGAAAATAAACTTTTCATTCGAGACTTTTAGGGCCATTCGTGACTATTTATGCTGTATTAGTTCGGTAGATAAAACTACCGAACACCGACCGCCCCCTGGCTCATTATCTACAAAGGAAACTGTCGATTGAGCGCTCTCTCTGGGTGACCGCCGTTCGTATAGCCGAATGCCACGTGGAAGAGAGAACTGCGGCCATCTTGTTTGCACGAAAGGAGGCAGCGGGACTTGGTCGTCGAGTCTCTGGAACTAAATTCGGACACTCGACTTCCCGAACGCCTGCTTCCTTTTCACGAACAGCTAGGAGAGTGCCATTTGGTAGTTTTCTGCCCACGAACAAGGGGAACAATCGCTCCTATGAGCCAGAGGGCTCCATTCGTGTTTTCTTTCATTTATTTGACTTTTTCAAAATAGACTGACCGCACAACCTAAACTCATGGAACTGTTTTGGGCAGAAGCCTCGTGTGCGGTTGGTAAAATGAGACTTCCATACAATTCGGAAACACCCGAACTGATCTGGGTGATTTTTGAATATGTTGGTTACCCAGATCAGGGCTATCAGGGAATATGTAATTTTATAGGGATACCATGTGTTTTAGGGTGCTTTCTAAGTTTTGGGGACAATGTTTTTTCTGCCTGAAGATAATTGGGTTATCCTTTAGTTGACTTAATTATTTCACAGTCAGAGAGGAGGGGATTGTGTGTTTGCAATGGGAGTGTTTTACTTTGTCACTGTAAAATGATTGGTTGTAATCTTTGTGTCCTGGTACCCAACAAGGTCCAGGTGGGAGGTCCCCTTGCCTGGGGATTTGCATAAAAGCCAGTGTGGCATCAATAAACCTTCATTCCTGTTGTACCCTTCATGAAGTCTAGGCTCATGTTTGGGTAACTATCTTCTGGCTGGGGAGAAACTACTTAGAAGCTGCATTCATCCTGAACTATTCATATCTACACCCGAACTGCAACTATAATCACTAAGGCTCAGCAGTTCGGGAGGAATAGGCAAACAAGGTACTATAACTACCAGCGTTCGTAACAGTGGGGCCTAAAGCAAGGTTCTGTTTCAGTTACCAATCAGATTTACCCACAAATCCATTGGTAAAATCAATCCTCTGGAAGGGAAAAACAGGAGATAACATGGGCAGAGGGCAACAAAATGGCTGCACCTGGGTATTGAGATCCAGCACAAAGAAGAAAAAATAATAATATAACTAAATCAAGTGGCGTGGAAGGAAGTGTAATTATTAAGATACAGGGGGCATACCAAAGTAAACCAAATGAAATAAGTAACAGGGCCACTTTAAGGATGTTTTTGTGTCTTTTCTGCCCAGTTGTTTGCACTTTAGAAATCCTTACCCTGTCTACCCAAGTGAGTCAAAATTACAGAATATCACACATTAATAGGACAGTTCACTAAAACCTGATTTGATAACTACCTACATCCCAACACTTCAAATGGTCAAATAGGGACACTTTAATTTTAGAGGTGTGGGCAGGGGTGAAACTACTCTGAGAAAGTTTAGGCGACTTACTAATAACAACTAAACTATTAAGAACTATAATAGTATGTCTTATTTACACAGACTGAACTCTAAAGACTTGTATTGTAGTTTAACCCCTTAAGGACCAAACGTCTGGAATAAAAGGGAATCATGACATGTCACACATGTCATGTGTCCTTAAGGGGTTAAAGGAACACTATAGTGTTAGGAATACAAGCTGTATGCTCCCACAGCCCCCAGCTGTGTAGAAAAAGTTAAAACACTGTTTATTCACTTACCCGATTCCAACGCTGAGGTCCCCTCCTCCAACAACGTCTCAGTGACGGGAGAACCACATAAGCGCTGCGCATGCATTAGGCATTCCTCCATAGGAAAGCCTTGAATAAGTGCTTTCCTATGAGGGTTTCAAGATGCTGGGCATCCTCATACAAAGTGTGTGGATGTCCAGCGTCATTTCACGAAGTTAAACTATGTGTGAATCGAGAGTCTTAACCCTGCAATGTAAACATTAAAGTTTCTCTAAAACGTAAAGTGTTTTATTTTGCAAGTTTAAGGGGACTGAGACACTGCACCCAGACCACTTAATTGAAGTGGTCTGGGTGCCTTAAGTGTCCATTTTTAAAGGCTCCTCACTGTGTGTATTGTATATGTGGAGCTCTGTTCTATACTTGGACAAATCAGCCATAGAAAAGCGGGGCATTAGGACAGAATAGCGGGTTTATGGCCAAAATTTAGGACTGTTCTTTCTAAATAGGGACACTTGGGAGGTATGTAATTTATACTCCTCATAAGCTCTGGAATTTTTTACTAGTGGGTACCAATGTTAAGATCCAATCTCCCATGATACTTTGCCAGGGATGAGTATGGCCTAGATGCCCATGGGGTTCCTAGACACCTAGAGAACCCCATATAAAAAAAAATGTGGGAAAGATGCAGATTTACCAATAGAATGAGCCTGCTGGGTCCGCTTGTTTCCATGGTGACTGCCCCTCTCTCTCTCTCTTTTTTATTTTATTTTTTTTAAAGTACATTAAACTACTTTACAGACCAAGACCTTTTTTTTTTTTTTTTTTCATTTTACCCCTTGAAATTCAGGCACTCCTCAATGACATTGAGCATCCTCATAATTTTGAGGTACAGAACGTGATTCAATTTGTAAAAGTCATCATGTTCTTGGAGAAAGAAATGGCTATGTTTTACATTGCCAGAGAAAATTGATGAGGTCTATGCACCAAAGGCAATACATTTAAGATGAAGTGGTTTTGGTACTCAGTATTCTTTTTTTTTTTCTTTTTTTATTGTGCTTTAATTTCTTTAAATAAAATGTATATATTTTTGCATACAGTATTCTACCTGCAAGAGGGCTTTGCGTTTAGTTCTGCTATTGTGGAGGATTAATGTACTGAAGTAGAGACCCCTTCCCCAAGCTAACAAACTCATCTAAGCTTTTTATCTGATTATTTAGATTTAGCCTTCCATTGGGCTGTAAGAGAGAATTAGAAGCATGGGTGACTCTTTTCATTATGCAGCTGGATTTTAACCCCTTAGTGAGACAGCCTTGTGTTACATGATTTGTATGTCAGGACACAAGCAATTTTCTCATATTATTTATAAAGCGCCAACATATTCTGTAGTGCTGTACAATAGGATATGTTTTCAACTGTAATTTACATCTTTATCATTTATTTGCACTCACACATATTATTTACCTTTTTTTTTTTTCTTCCAAAGATTGAGAATACTTTTAATTTGATGCTTTATTTATTACATAACTAAAGAGAAAATGTAAGTAAAAAAAACCTTTTTTTTAAAAATGTTTTTTACCCATTCTAAGAGGTGGTCACCTAATTAGGTAGTCCAGCACAATAGTTCCTTTAGATTTTGGTGTGCAATTAAAATACGTGACTAAAAGTGGCTTAATACGTCTGTGTGTTTGTTAGACAATAGATTACATAACTTTTTAAACAGTATAGTAATGGAATCGATAGTTCCCTCTTTCCCTTATGTTTTCTACATATTCTCTGCCAGATGTTTCAGAGCAGAGAGAGGTTCAGATAGTTTCCATGCAGAGCTTGGATCAAGTTGTCAGTTTTTTCCGGCATCTGCTTAAGCAGATTTTTTTTTTTTTTTACCCCTCTGATTAACCTTTTCACTGCTGAAACTGTTTGCAAATTTGGAATGGAATCCTGTGGCAACCAAACACTGTTCTATGCATAATACGTGGTTTCCACTTTACCAGTACCTTTGTACTGTTTGTGTTTATATGTTTTGCTTGTGTTAAAGTACTATCTGTTCCAGGGACTCATGGGAGCAAATCTAATGGGCTTGGTAGATCTCACTGTACTGAGAGATTCCTAGCCAGCTTCTGGGTTATGACATAGTGTGTGTGCTAATGGGAAGTATTTTGGTACTTTTTTTTTGTTTTGGTTTTTTGTTTTAGTTTACAGAACAACCAACTGAGATCCCTGTTTAAGGTTTCTTCAGTACATACATCAGGATCTACTTCCATTAAAATTGATCTGTCGGAGTATAGGTTCTTGATCTGTGGTTTGAATGCCCCAAGGGTTACTTTCAAATACCTGATTTTTAATGGCTAATGGGATTTACTGGCAATATTACAGGTACATGATTAAGAAAAATTGACACCAGCTGATTTGGCTGGAAAAGTCTGATGCCTTTTGACAATGATTGTTGTTTTCTTCATTATAAAAAAGTAGGGTTGGAGTTTTCCACAACAAAACAAAGCAAAGGTGACATTGTATCCTGATCACCTCATCTGTTGATCCAGCCATTGGATTTCTCATGTTGAGGGGACCCCAGGCCAGTTTTAAAGGGACATTATAGTCACCAAATCACATTTTACTTAATAAAGATGTTTTAGTGTATATATCATTCTCCTGCAGTCTCACTGCCCAATCCTCTGCCATTTAGGAGTTAAATCACTTTGTTTCTGCAGCGTTAGATACACCTCCCTGCATGTGACTTATACAGCCTTCCTAAACACTTCCTGTAAACCGCCATCTAATATTTATACTTCCTTTATTGGAAATGCTGTTTAATTTAGAATTTCTTATCTCCTGCTCTGTAATTAGCTAGCTAGACCCTTGCAGGAGCCTCTTGTATGTAATCGAAGTTTAATATACAGAGCAGTAGATAAGTAACATTTGATTGAAAATAAAATAAAAAACACTTTGTTTTAATGCTGCTTGTGTCAGCCAGGGATGCATAAATAGATCAAAAGTGACTTAACTCCTAAATGGCAATGAGAATTGAGCAATGTGACTGGAGAGACAAGATATATACGCTAAAACTGCTTCATTAAGCTAAAGTTGTTTTGAGGACTATACCTTCCCTGTAACAATGGCTGGTTATTTTATAACAAATTGTTACATTGTGGACCATGGTCATTGCCATGAAGTAATGATTATTCCTGTGTGACCTTAGCTTGCATCTCTCTCTGTTCCAGAGTATTTATTTATTTTAGGTTTCCTGTTCTTAGACTTTTCATTGATGAGGGGAACTAAATATCTACCAAAGGCTTGTTCAAGAAGGAACGTGGATGACATTACATGTCTGTCTTGTTTACAGTGCTGTTAGACTGCAAATTCAGGAGAGCAACGGCTTGTGCCAAAAAGCTTGTTTTATCAGTCCCCTCCAACCAACCTGTTCTAACCATAATCCCTTCCTTCCTAAATAGGTCTTGTCACAATGATTTGCAGTTTGTGGTAGTTCTTCCTGTTATTCCGTGTTTGCTCATTGTGGTAATTGATTATGTTGGACTGTACAGCTGATCAGTCGTTTTTAATAGTTTGTAGTTCAGTAACAAATCCCAGACTGCAAATGACCCACAGCTAATGTACTTGTTTTTTTGTTTCCAATACACTGTTCAGTTAGTAAAGTATTAAACTTAATTTTTCCAGATACTACCAACTTGCTGGTGTATTTCCCGTCCTGCATTCTGTGATAGTTCTGATGTTGATCTGAAAAGAAGATAAAGCATCTCTGCCTCTAATATCCTGTAATAGGCCCCCCAAATTGTCAGAGGTGATTGCAGTGGAGTACATATGTGTGTCTTGGGTCATAGCAGTATCTCTCTCCCCAGGGCTTCTGTATAGTTACAGAGCTGTGTCTGGCTCTCATGTTACATGCTGGGGGATAGCCCTACGGTTCTGTATGTACACCAGATGTTGGGCTGGGCTCAGCACATAGGAATGGTTGGATTCCCAGCTGCTACCTTGTTCTCCTGTTTCATGTCTGGGATACAGGCCGGGGCCACGCAGTGCCGCCAGGGTGTGGATCTTGTTAATGGAGATTCCTGCTGTGTTTCTAAACATTACAAGTATATCCCACTACCATAGCACCTTCCTATGGAAAGCATCCCCGAAATGTCAATAGCACCTTGTACAGAGCACTGTTCTATATCCTTATTGTGACCTCTACTTTGAGAGATATGTAAATGGCACAAAAGGCTGTGATAAAACTTTTTTGTAATTTGAAAATGTTGGCAATGGCCATAAACAAAAGGGGTTTTGCATGAAGTGCAATTCTAGGTCAAAGTTTAAAAATATATGTGCAATCAGCAGGAACATTCATTTAGTTTTAAATGTTCAAAGTGCATCCAAGGATTCTACTTCATTAACAATGTCTGTAGTATTGTTGGCAAATGGAGACGCTGCTGGTAGTTAAAGTCTGACTAATTTAAAAAGTTGTGTTTTTTTTCTTTCTTTTTTTTCAGGGAGATGTGAAGCCGAACAGCCAATTTTATTTATAGAGCACCAACATGTTCCTAAGTGCTGTGTGAGTACAGTTCTTTTTTGGAATTCATTTTCTGCATTTTGTCCTTTGTTTTAAAGGGTTGCTTACAACCATGACTACTTCAGTGAGTTGGAGTGGTCATGGTGGTAGGAGTCTGAATGTGCAGTGTTTTTTGCTTGAAACACTAAACATACTGAGTTATTGGCAGTTGTGTGCTGGGACAAGTTGCACCCACAGCACACATGACATTGGCAGCTCAGAACTCTGTTCCTTTTTTTTTTTTATGCAATGATCCAAAGTTTCCAGGTAGGTCCGCAAGACTTTTGCATATTTAATGAGGCTCCCTGACACCCGCATAGCATATGTAATGTCCCAGACTTCACACACACAATCTGACATACAATGAATGTCAGATTGTTTGTGTTTGATTTAATGTATATTACACATGATAAATTCCCTCAATAAATGTCCCTACTGATTACTCACCAGATGGGTATTGTTCCTTAACAGGGGCCCAGTCTGGTGCCCTGGCCCTTTAAGAGCCTGACCGCTATCTGCAGGCTGGGAGGAAGTGATATCCTGTCCCTTCCTCCCAGCTAAAAAGACAGATGCGCGAGGGAGGAGGCTGGAGCCAGCACCACCACGGGCAGCGTGGAGTTGGCTGCTGCTGCATTCACACTCCCATCAGACTCAGCCCAGTCCTCAAAAAATAAGCTAGCAGGTGGTTACAATGTATGTCAGATTGCTTGTGTGTGTATCTGAATGTGTTTGTAAATGTGTCAGTGTGTATGTGCCAGTGCATGTATCTGTGTCAGTGTGTGTATCTGTGTGTCAAGATGTGTCTAAATAGTTGTAATATGTTCTGTTACTGTGTATGGGTGGGGGCATTTGGGGATGGGAGGGGGGTGCAGCCATCTCCCTGAAATTAGTTTTTGCAAGTTGGGATGTCTGTTAATAGCAAATTCCACCACCTTCCCTAATCCTTTCACCCCCTTGTTGACTCTTGATGCATGCGCTCTGAGCCAGGAAACCGTCTAATCACAAACTTTTCTTTGAGAAGTGGGGCCTAATAGTTATGCCCCACATTGCATTTGTAATGTGAGAATGGACTTTTATTATCAGGTAATAATTAAATTTAATTTCGCGGAGTAACTTAAATATAATTCTGTATGTAACAAGCTTGTACTTTGCTCCTTCACTTGCAGGATTCTTTGTGAGTGGACGCTCATTTAAACCCTGTGTCCTGACATTTAGGATGGCATTTGATTCCTCGCCTTTTGTCCTGCCGGACCAGCTGCAGCACTTCAACATTCAGACTGTGGACACCGGGAATGGCGATACTTCTGCGGAATCTTGTCATTTGGAGAGGGGCCGCTATGAGGTCATTCCCACTGTGGTGTGCTCCTTGTGCTGCCTGTTTGGACTAGTCTACACCTTTTTTGGTGAGTTGAGAGAGAAAAAATTTATATGTGGATCTCGTAAGGGATTTATTGAGTCTCCTTGCAATGCTGTCCTGAAAAGGTAATCTGTATAACAGAACGATTGTAAAACAAATACTTGGAGCCAATATGCAGGTCAAAATGACTTGGTAACCAAAGACCTCAGAACAGGAATAGAAATTCTGTCCTTGGGCCTCAAGTAGCTTGATTCGTGAATGCAGTAATTCTTTCCTCAGGCTAATTGACACAGACTAAGTACATACCATTAATAGCTTACAGTTGCAGCTCTTATTAACTTCGGCTTGTATGTATACGTGTTCTTTAAAGGTTCATCTTAAAGATAACATTATACAGTTAAAAAATAAATAAAATGAAAGTCAACATGTTAAGATGTTTGCATCTCTAACAATTTCCTGAAACGTGTGCATGCAGGAATCTCAAATCCAGTCCAAATCTACAGAGATCTCGTAGGTCTGCAAAATGCATCATTAATGGCAAAAACAATCCCATGCCAAGTTGGGAAACGCTAAAGATATAGGTAAATATTTGTACGTAAAGGGTTACTCCATCTTTTTAAAGACCCCACAATTTCAATGTATATTGCCCTATTGTGAATTACTAATTGCCCCCCCCCCCTTTTTAAATGCAGTAAATGAGTTCAATTTAGCTAACCAGAAGTTGGAGGCTCCATCGTTCACTCCAGTCGCATTTGATTGGATTTTTCTTACAGGCTGTGAGCGCATGCCTTCATTCGTGTAGAAGAAACTGCACAGGGGGGGGGGAGGGAACCAAATGCCTGTTGTAAGCATGGACAGCGCACTGGTGACAAATGTACTTTTTTGCACAGAATTAACATTAGGTAGCTCAGAACAGAATTCTGGGTGTCTAAGTCACATGTGATGGGGATGAAATAGGAACAAACATGCAAATATCTCTGTATGTGCAGGGTTTCAATCAGAAACCCTGCACATACAGATTCCTATCACTATGACCACTTCTAAAAGCAGAAGTGGACATGGTTGTTGGAGTAATTTTTTGTAGCTACTGTCCTTTATATACGAAAACATACAAAGGGAGATTCCAAGCACCATAACAACTTATATCATCTATCTATGTCTGCATCTTCTCAGTACAGTAGTTTGCAAAATGTTCTTTGATTTTCTTCATATTTAAGCACCTATGCAAGCCTGACGGGCGGCCTTCTACTGTTCGAAGCTGACAACTAAACTTTGACTCACTGAAATCCCTGTTTGGTTCCCAACAGTGCTTGTATTTAAGGGTAAAGTTATGGGAACACTTCCGGGTCTGGACAGAGCTTAATGTAGAAGCTGCAAAGCCCACATGTTTGCAAAAAATGCATGTACCTTAAATCTGAGTATCTTTCTTATGTTAGAGTATAGTTTTGCATATATTTTAATTATTTGATGCAATTATTTGTCCATATACTTTTTGGCTGCCTAAAATAGTGTGACCATGTATAAAAAAACAAAACAAAAAAAACAAACAAAAACCCCCCACTGTAATCCATTATGGAGACTGCAAAGTCTTCCTGTGTTTAATTAAAGTGCAATTAACAGAGCAGGAGATAAAAACTTCCAAAGTAAACACACTGTTCAGTCACATCTGATTGAAAGTGTTTCATGCAGGCTGTGTCATTCATAGCCAGGGGAGGTGTTGCTAGGGCTGCATAAAGAAAGTGATTAAACTCCTAAATGGCAGAGAATTGTGCAATGAGACTGTGTGGACAAGATCTACACGCCAAAATGGCTTAATTAAACTAAAGTTGTTTTGGTGCTTAGAGTTTCCCTTTAAGGTTTAAGGGACAAAAGAAGTATGGATGTGCATGTGTATTTATCAAGTTTGTATTGATGTACACCTTCCATTCCAGCACAACTCCATTACGTTTTTGAGCTAGCCTTTATATAATATGTAAACTTGCTTTATTTTAAGAAACCTTTATTTAAAAGTAAAAATTTCAGATTCTTCATTCTGATTGCATTCTCTGTTTGTTTGCAGGTTACAGATGTTTCAAAGCCATAATGTTCTTATCAGGTCTGCTGGCTGGTTCAGCAGTCATCTTCTTGCTTTGCTACAAGGAGCGAATCCTGGAAACACAGTTGAGTCTCGAGTTGAGTGCGGGGATTGCGCTGGGTATCGGACTGCTTTGTGGATTGGTTACCATGCTTGTGCACAGTGTAGGTCTCTTCATGACTGGCCTGCTTCTTGGACTGCTGCTGGCCACTGCTTGCTTAGTGGGACTTGAACAGTTTTACCATCCTCCCACTGCATGGGTCCCAGTGGGTATGATGATGGCTTCTGCCATGCTTTTTGCTGTACTGACTCTCCAGTGGCAGAAACTTTTCACAGTGATTTCCACTGCTACATTTGGTGCAGCTATCCTGACCGTGTGCACAGATTATTTCATTGAGTTGATGCTGCTGGTGCAGTATATCTATAACTATGTCCGTTTGGAACCCTCCCAACACCTCTGCTGGTACAGCTGGGTTGTCCTCGGAATGTGGCCAGTTCTAAGCATCTTGGGAATAGTTGTTCAATGGAAAGTGACAGCTGAGGGCTTCTCTCATACGGATGGTAAGTAGATCTCTTTCTTGTTGGTTGGTGGCAGTCTGTCAGTTGTTCATGTCTGCTAACATTTGCCTGACTTGGTTTGAAATACTTTGTAAGATACATGCCAGATAATTGCTTGTGTTAACTGCTTGTGTGCAGTAATGTGATGTGAAGTGACTAGCCTTTCCTGTGGTGCCTTAGGGGAGCTAACCTGGGTTAATAGGGCATATATCTGTTAAGACAGTCATTCCAAAACCATGTGTTTCGAAAGATTGATTGATGAATTGTTGTCAGTGATACAGTTGTCAATGTACCTTTTTAAAGGAGCACTCCAGCATTCTAAATAAATACATTTATTTATAACCCTAATACTTGTAAAAATGTAACGTTCTTCTAATACAGTGATGTGGGGGTCTCCACACCACAACTTTCCTCTACCAGATGATCTTCTGATCAATCCTCTACATGAGCGGCTCCTTTATAAGAAGTATCCGATACTTCTCTGAGAAGCATTGCTTTGTGCTGTAGCACAAGCCAGACTGATAGAGCACTCTTTCTTGTATGGCTGTTACATCTAGTTTAAAAATGGAAAATTAAAAACTAAAGTGTGACTTCTACATAGTTACATAGCTGAAAAGAGACGTGTCCATCAAGTTCAGCCTTCCTCAGATTTGTTTTTTGCTGTTGATCCAAAAGAAGGCAAAAAAAAAAAAACAGTTTGAAGCACTTCCAATTTTGCAACAAACTAGAAAAAAAATCCCTCTTGACCCCAGAATGGCAGTCAGATTAATCCTTGGATCAAGATGCATTTAACCTTCACTGAAAAAATATATCCTTGAATATTCTGTTTTTGTAAGTATGCATCTAGTTGCTGTTTAAACATCTGTACAGACTCTGATAAAAACACTTCTTCAGGCAGAGAATTCCTTATTCTTATTGTTCTTACGGTAAAAAAACCTTTGCTTTGCCTTAGATAAATTTTTCTTTCTTCCAGTCTAAACGCATGACCTCATGTCCTATGTAAAGTCCAGTTTGTGAACAGATTTCCACATAATGGTTTGTATTGGCCCCGAATATATTTGTATAATGTTATCATATCCCCTCTGAGGTGACGTTTTTCTAAACTAAAGAGGTTTAAATTTGTTAACCTTCATAGCTAAAATGTTCCATTCCTCTTATTAATTTTGTAGGTCGTCTCTGCACTTTTTCTAGTGCCATAATATCCTTCTTTAGAACAGGTGCCCAAAATTGTACAGCATATTCATGTTGTCTTACCAGTGATTTATAAAGAGGCAAAATGATTCTCATCCCAAAAATTAATGCCCTTTTTCATGCATGACAGTACCCTACTGACCTTAGCCACTGCTGATTGACATTGCACATTGTTGCATAGTTTGTTGTCTATAACAGTGGTTTCCAAACGTTTTAGGTTCAAGGCGCCCTTAATATTTAAATATTTTTCCAAGGCGCCCAAAGTCAAAATTATTTTCTCAATGTTGTATATGTGTGCAGCGCAGCGGCATATACTGGGCCCTGTTCGGCAGAAATGCTTGCCGCTCAAGCGCATAACCAGAACCTAATCTTGGGAGGGGCACTGGTAGATTATTTAAAGAAACCATCCAGGCAAAATAACCACTACAGCACTTTGTAGTGGTTATGGTGCCAGTAGTTCCCTCCCAGAGTAAGTAGTCAAACTGTTTAAGAATATTTTGGCAACTTACCTGGGGTCTGCCGGGATAAAAGCTGTAAAAAGGGATAGGGGCAGTAGTGTGTGTGTGTTTGTGTCAGTTTGTGCTTGAGGGGTACAGTGTGTTTAGGGTGCAGTATGTTTAGGGGAGTGGTGTGTGTGTGTGTGGGGGTAATGTCTGTGTTTGTGGGAAGTTATTGTGTCTCTGTGGGGGTAGGAGGGCCAATTCATAAGTCTATAATTTTTTGTTTTAATTAAAAATAATTATTTTAATATCCCCCCCCTGCTTACCTTTGCCTGGGAGAGTGGACAGTACAAGGCAATTCCTATTGGGGAAGCCCTGGTGGTCCTAGTGGTGACAGTGAACTCTAGCAGCCTCTGGAGCTGCTAGAGTTCACTCTTACGAGATGCAGAGCGTTGCCACGGTAACCACGACAACGCTCCGAGCTCACAAGAGGAGAACCCGGCGGCGCTGCAGGTTAGAGCTCCCCCTGGTCCTCTCTCTCCCTCTCTCCCTCTCCCCCCTCTCTTCCCCCTTACCCCTCTCTCCCCATCTTCCCCCCCTCTCTCCCACCTATCTCCCTCCTCTCTCGCCCTCTCTCTCCCTCCCTCTCTCCCCCTCCCTCTCTTACACTGCAGTTCCCGGGGCTATGATCATAGCACCAGGAAAATATCTTGCAGCTTCCCTGTGTCCCGCTCGGCTATAACAATTCATAAGTCCTTCTCGTGTGTGGTTATCTCCAATTCGCTTCCATTTGGGGTATAAGTTGCTTAAGCATTCTTGATTCACCTCTGTCCAGCTTGAAAATGTACTATTAATGTCAACTCTCTGTACTCTATTTTTAAGCCAATGCTCTACCCAAGAACAAGAATTTTCATCTAGACCGATTTCTTTGAGTTTACGAAGTTACAGCTTTTTAATTAAATCAAGGTTTATCCAAAACCACCTCTCAAATACCCTTTTTCTTTTTCTTTATTTTTTTACGTGCTTGTAGTGAATGAGAAAAAGCATCAGGCATAATATAAACTTAGACAATGCTTCAAGTTTGTTCATACATAGGAAACAACAGTATGGTGGATCCAAGCAAGTAGCAGTTAAAGCACATTTCTACTTTATAGAGTACAAGTGTGGTTACAGACCCGGGATGAGCTAGGGTTGGGCTGCGTAGAAGGGTATTCCTGCTTGTCTCAGGGAGGTTATCACCAGTCCGAAGGTCTTGTGTCGAATTAAGGTGGCTCTGGTGAGGTCCTGAAAGAACATTAACTGGGAGTTTTCAAAAGCCAGCAGCGTTTTTCCCTTCAGGGCCATCATGATTTTTATCTTGCCATGCACAGTCACGCAGCGTAGTATGACATCTCTCGCCACTGTGGTTTGAGTGCGCGCTGTGCTGGTTACACGACAGATCCCGTCCAGAACAATTTTTTTTTTGTCTGTTGCATGTGACAAGATTGTAGAGAGCAAGCGCCTGGTATAGTGCGGCAATTCTTCGGTTGATGTATTTTAATGTGTGTGTTCTGCGCAGTCTGTCCTCTAGGGACATCATTTGGGCGGCTAACAGCTGTTGATCAGCTTGGAGATGCATCACTGAGTTGTGGAGGGTGGTTATGGTCGTTTGAACATTAGTTATATGTTCTTCTGAATGTTTGACTCGGTCTTTCACTTGTTGTATGTCCACTTTAATCTTGGTGACATCAGCTGCCAGTAGTTTGTGTATATTGGCAAGTAGAATCTTTAGATCTCGCTTGGTGTCCGAGTCTAAGTCGCCAGGGAAGTGGGGAGGTAAGGTTTGGTCTGCTTGGATGGTCTCTTAGGTACTTGGTCCCTTGTAGTACGGGCCCCTGGTGGAAATGGGGTCCGGTAGGTGCTCTGCCCATGCAGGCTCAAGTTGTGCTGGCTCTCAAATACCCTTTAAACATTTAATGGCAAGAGATCTTTAACTAGATTCTGGTGTTCCATTACCAGTACTCCTGTTGGCAACCTATATTTTCTCAATGAATTATAAAATCATAAGTTTATTTATTTCCTTTTTTGTTTTCCAGATCCACAGGTGCTTGCACTAGTTCTCCAGATTATAGCTGTAGATTATGCCCCACTATTACACATTCACACTATTAATATATTATACACTATGATATGCTTCAAGTGAGAGAGATGGCTTGGAAGTGGATTTTTTTTCCATCTCCATTTTAAATACTGTTTGGCTTTGCCAATGTAGCTCTATTTCCTATGGCCAATTTGGGTTCATAAACAGCCAGTATGAGGAATATGATCCAGTGGATAGCTGGAAATGATTAGGGAACCCATGATGCTTGCGTATATTAGAAACAGAATAAGGAGAATACTGTTGGGCATGTAATCCTTCTGACAGCCCAACTCCTCCTCCAGCAGGAAAAAGACAAAGCTTTGTTTAAGGAGAAAGAGGGGCTTTATTGTTAACTACTTGGATTAACTGGGAGGATGCGATCCTTAACATAGTGTCTGTTCATCTATTTTAAATACTTCTTATTTGTTTTGTCTTTTACATATTGACCTTTCTGTTTGTATTTTTTCTTTTGTCTATGGAAATGTATCTGTAAATGTTTCCTGCTAATTGAACAAGATAGTGATTTTATTTATTTTAGTGCTTGTTGTCCTATCTGCCCTAGCAGATGTATCTGAACTGCATTTCCCATGATGCCTCATAAATTGTGCATGTTTAACTAGTAGCTAATCGTGCGTGTTGGTATAAATTCACCAACTTTTAAAGGGACACTATAGTCACCAGAAAAACTACAGCTTAATAACATGTCACCGCAGGCTTTTTACTGTAAACACTGCAGTTTCAGAGTAAAGGCAGTGTTTGTACCTTGAGGAGTTACTAGGCAGTAATGTAGTCACTCAGACGGCCACTAGAAGTGCTTCCTGGTTCAGTAATGCACAATACATTGAATCATGGGGAGATGCGGATTGGCACAGTGTTATGCCACGCAAATAGTCTCCCAATGCTTTCCTATAAGAAAATAACATCAGTTTCTACATGCAATAACATGCAAATTTATAAAAATCAGCCTTCCATTGAGTTGTAGAGCTAGCATTTATGTCAATTAAATTAAGTCCTTTTGGAACGATCTAGAGACTAATTGTCAGAAAAACACTGTTTCTATCAGATATTTTATCTTTTAGAACAGCAACTTTTTATTCTATCTTTCCAATTTTATTTTTTTTTAAATAACATTTCAGTTATACAGCAATTGCCAAGTATATGGGCTTCTCTTCTGTCATTCACGTGATGCCTGGAAGTGCATGGAGGTTAAGAAGGGTTAGAGGCTAATAGGATGGATTAAAAAACTGTGACAGCTTCCTGCTCTAAGGTTACTCTGTCACAGACCTCACACAAGTTCTATATCTGGAACAACTTTTGAAGGAAGGAGCATAGTGAAAAATGTCTTTCTAGTACACCACTTCAGATTAGATTTTTTTTTTATATGTAAAATTCAGATTTATTCCATGAAGTGCAAATTGTCGTGAAAGTCACATTTTAGCTAAGCATTTTATTTCCATTCACCTAATGTGATCTGGAAATTGAATTTAATAACCCCCCCCCCCCAAAAAAAAAATCACACTGTAGTGTAGGGCTCGACAAATGCCAGGTAGTCATGGCAACTAGAAATTTTGCCCGGGCACTATGGATTTGTCAACCCTTTCAGAGGCGAGGGAAAGTGGAGGCAGCCGGCTGAGTGACAGTGGAGCAAGACGGCTAGGGAGCGAACATCTTGCGGCTCTTCTTGCTCTGCTCTCTCACGCACTCTGCTGTGCTTCTGGGTGCCGGGATATACGGTTAGAGCAAGAAGAGGTTGAAGATTTCAGTAGCCACACTGGACCCCAGGGAAATGATCCACAGCCACTTCAATTGAACGCTACAGCTTTAAGGCCCAATTCCCATACCATCTCTGCAGCAAGCCTCTTCAATGGAACGCTACAGCTTTAAGGTACAAATTAAAATTCAGAAGATGCTGCACCGGATTTCTTTCACCTTTGCCACTAGATTATTACTTTCTTATAATAATGTTTTCATTGTTATCTATAGTGGTACTACTGTAGTATTATGTACTTGCAGTTACATGCATTAATTAATAATCTGGCTGTTAGGATTTGATTGACAAAATTCTAAAATGTATACCTCAAATTAGGGATCGACCGATTATCGGTCTGGCCGATATTCTGTGTTTTCGGAAATAGCGGTATGTCTCCACTCTGCCCATGACCTTCTCCTGTCTGTTGCTCACACCCGTACAGCCAACTCATGCTTGAAGGACTTCTCGCGGGTGGCTCCTTTCCTTTGGAAAAGCTTGCCTATGACCATCAAGCTCTCCCCTAGTCTTCAATCATTTACAAACAAGATCCACATCACTCTCAGTTAAGGGAGTACGGAGGATCCTTGTGGTCTCCCGCTGTGGATGGCGGTGGGTTCTTCGTCACTTTGGGCGGTGTAATGGGGTAATGTCCCGGGTGGCCTTGAGCTCAGGCAGGTGTTTAGTTATAGGTGCAGGTGCCATAGATGTTGTTTTAGATGGCGGATTGCTCTGAGGGGGCCTCTGCAGCCCTCGTTTCTCTCTTGTCCCTTCACCTTTCATGATGCAACGGTGATGCTTCTATTCGGGACTCTAGTTGTGCCCAAACGCGCTCAAAGATCAGATTTAGCATTTTGTCAGCTGCTCTTGGGTGATCCGTTTCAGTCTGCTGTGCCTCATGCGCTTGTGTTGGGAGTTCATGCACCATCTTGTATGTGTAGGCTGTGATCTCTGCTCCTGCTGTGTCGCGAGTCAGCAGGCTGCTTGAGTATTTAGATCTAGCCCGAGGTGACTGGGATAACACCCACCAGTCATGGGGGGAGGGGCAGCGATATTAAGCCTCACGGTCAGGCAAAGCACTAGGAGAGCGGCCGTCTCTCCTCCGTTTTATTGCCTGTAGGCCGCAGGACCTCGAGCCAAGCAGTCCGGTGCCGGGGAAGCTCATGAGAGGTATCTCCAGATGCACCGTCGAACCCCGGTATAGGGGAGTTGTTTCCCTGCAGGCAGAAAGTGGTTTGGCTTGGAAATATGCCACAGAATTAGGTGTTAGATGAAGGAACTCTTGTTGTCTGTTCTGCTTGGTGGTCAAGCTCCGCCCCCTAAATGGATAATAATTTGTGTGTGTTTCTGTCAGTGAGTGTGCTTATGCGTCTGTCTTTCAGTGAGTGTGTCTGTTCCCCGCGGATCGCATATGAAAGGTGTTTTTTATTCACCTTTTTTCTCATGCTGTGCAGGTCTTGCAGTGGCTGGCTCTACCTCCATGACCAAGATTATCCATCTTGATGATCTCAGCCAAGTCCACGCTTTTCTATAGGAAAACATTGGGAGATTATTGCAATACGCCGTGCTGCGCCAATCGGCATCTCCTCATAGAGATGCATTGAATCAATGCATCTCTATGGGGAACATTTAGCGCCTCCATGCAGAGCGTGGAGACACCAAACGCTTTGCAGCACTGGACTAAGAAGCACCTCTAGTGGCCATCAGAGTGACTGTCAGTACAGGTGTTGCTAGACAACAATGTAAACACTGCTTACGTTGAAAAGCTTGCAGGGACAGGCTATAAACCCCAAAACCACTGCATTAATCTGTACTGGTTCTGGTGACTAAAGTGTCCTTTTAAGAATTTTACTTTTGTAGTTTGAAAACAAAGCTTTGTTCGTTTAAAAAAAACAAAAAAATAAACCTGGCTTCTAACTTTTTTTTTTAAATCTGGCTCCTAGATTCCAAGCAGATTTGTCAAGTCCTGCTTTAGTAAAAAAACCCTGTCGGTGTCCTTGAAATGCCTTCAGTATCTTTTAAGATACAGCATTTGCCAATACGGTTGGTAAAGTGGAGCCATGTATTTTGGATCCATAATGCACTTGATTTTAGGCGTACATTACTAAATGTACAAAATGCATAGACCTGTATAGCTGTAGCCTTATTTCTGTGAGCTGTGCAAGCGGGATGTTTGTTTTTATGTGAAACGCTTAAATTGGAAATACAGGAGAAGCATTTTTAGCATTTTGCATTGGTGACTTTCAGTATTGCTGTTGCATTGTATCCACCATAGTTCTAAACCAGTTTCCATGTGAAATATATTCTATTTATATAGTTTGAGCATATATATCGAGATAGATCTGATTTTTTTTTTTACAGCTGTCTGTATTCAGGGTTCTATAAGATCAGAGTGAACTATTTCATGGATGTAGAATATATGAAAGTTTTGGTTTTTACTGTACTTTAGACTTAATCGCTACTTCTTTTCCTTCCATAATTGTCATCCCTTTAAATTTCTGATGTTTGCTCTTTCATGACAGTGATCATAAGCAGACGTCAAAAACGCCTCCAGCTCTTGCGGATACGGCAGAAAGAGGCCAAAAAACGTCAGAATGTTGCTCCTCAAGAGGGGACGTATCGACGGAAGGCAAACCCTATGAAAAGATACACTGGGGATATTCTTGCACCCGTGAGTAAATTGGAATCTGGAAAGTAATCTATAATTCTTTCTCTGTGACTTTGAAGGGAATATAGAAAATATTTTAGCCTACCATATATTGTGGTAGGACCGCATTGAGTTGAAGGTCAGATGGGTTAGTTTCAAGTGCTCTCAAATATCTGTGTGATTTGCACACAAACCAGTCAAATGTCATGAATATGAAAAGTCAGATGGCAGTTTTATATTCTTATTGTTGCATTTTGTGTTCTATTACAGAGTTACTTGCAGAGCTTGAGGGATCGGCAGACTGGCACCGGCACATCCATGAGCAGTCTGAGCACGTACATGCAAACAGTAGTGGACTTGGACTATGAGTGTGGCTCCACTGTACCTCTTACTGCCACTACACCAGTAATCCGAGTCTGAAGGAATGACATTTTGTGCCTTAAATGGTCTCCATTGGTACATTGTCTGCCACAATTTTGCTGTGCCACTGTTTCCTTTCCAATTTCCAGAATTTTATTGCAAGCAGTGACTTGGATTTAGGGCTGAGTGTGTAGGGCCCAGATTTCAATTAGGACTCTTGAGCACTTATATTCTGTGGGCAAGTGTATTGTATGAAACGATGCTGAATACGGAGTAAAGTGCAATATCTAGTAGACTGTGACAAAGAGTTGATTTAAAACTTTATTGTAAAGGGACTTTTTTATTTTATTTTGTTGGTTTTGGTTTTAAATATGAGCCACATGTATCTGTCCATTACACAGAATCTCATTTTTGACAGATATAACCGAATCATTTAAAACAAATGTAGATCTAGAAAAAACATTTCCTAGAACAGTTTTTAACCCTATTAAATCTGATGTAAAAATAAGCATTGCGGATAAAAATAACAATTGGCCGTCCTTTTTAATGCATATAGTTGAGAGGACACTATAACCACTTCAGCTCATAAAACTAGTTAATGGTGCCAGAGCTCTGTCCCTGCTGCCACACATTTGACATATTAATCTTCAAAGTGGAGCATGTAGTGCCGCCTCTAAGCACTGTTGGTCAGAGAACTGGTAGCAAGCATGGGGTGCTGACGGCGGAAAACGTGCCGCACCAATCATCAAAGAAACAGAAACAACTTTCAAGAGCTTGCTCTAAGAGAGCAGCACAAGCAATTCCCTCGATATTAATGTTGATAAGGTTACTAGCTTGGAAATGTAATTCTGGGCGCTCTTACTGACAGAGTTTGTAGGTGGCGCTATCAGGTTAGTTTTCAAGCACTGTTTTTGTCAGTTTGACAATTTTGTCAATTTTACGGATGCGGGAACATGCTCCAGGCATCCCAACCAATTTAATACACTAAAGTGATTATGCTGCATATCGTGTCAATGGGATTCTTCAAATAGGTTTTGAAATGTCTTGCTCACGTGCATGTCACTATAAGTTAATACAAATTGCAAAGGAGTGATTTTTTTTGTGGAAAGCAAGATCTGACACAGACAAAAGGAGCCATGACCCGTCTAATCACTCAAATGTATCATTAAACTAAAACTACAGTTGTAAACTCTCTAACAGGCCTTTTTGTTGCTTTTTGTGAGTGATGGGAGTTTTAGTCCAATAGCCATGTTAGATGTAACACTGCTCATGTGTACAAGCCAGGTTAGCTAGAAAGCAATGAAAGAATATGGAATTTTTTAAGTCTGTTTTCTTTTATGTAATGGAACCTGTACGTAACCTAGTCAGTTAGTGCAGAATAGATTTTTGTTTTTTATTTAATTTTTTTTATCCTTTTTACTTTTACATATGATAAAACAGCTGGCACTGGTCAACCTTTGGCACTCCTATTTTTGTTGGAGTGGATGTCCGATTAAACTCATGGTCTGGCTGACACCTGGATTTCTTGATACTGTCAAACTGATAATAATAAATTCATTGAGAACTGGAGACTTTATCTTTTAGATGATATGTACCGTGTATGACAAAACAAAAAAGGCAGGCAGAAAATCATAAAAATAACATAACCACTGTGTGGAATTGGTGGGACTTTTTTGTTTTCATTGTCAAAATGCCACTATTTTTCCGTAAAATTTAGAGTCTGGCTTGTATTGTTTTCTTTTGAAATCAAGCAGAAATTGTTTACATTTACAGGTAGGTTTATCAGATCCCCAAGTTTATAGGGTAGGCAAGAAACACGTGAATGGATTATGCAGTGGGGTTGTGCGTGAAAAGCTCTCCCAAAAGTATGTAACATTCATATGCTGCAAGAACTAGAACAGGTGACGTGCCTTTGAGATTCCCACCCTGATCAACTGATTTATGCGTTCTATAAATATTGGATACTACCAGGAGTGTTTTAGTTACATACACACTTACATGGCACTTTGTTTTTTCAAAAACATGGTGATCTGAAAACCCTATTTCAAAGTGGAATGGAAAATATTTGTACTTCAAAATTAGTAGTTGCAAAGCCTGCATATATCTTATCTATTTATTATGTTTAATTATTGTACTAATTGTGTCTTTCAGGTTTTTTTTAATTGCCATATAGTTTCATATGTATAATGAAAAAACTGTAAAATAGAGACCACTTTTTGATTTTTTTTATAACTTATATTTTACTTCTAAGCACCATTAGCTTATTGTAGCAAAGTAAGACATGATAAATTCTTGTGTAAAGTGCAGTCACTGTGGAAACCAACAGTACCATACCTTTATGATATGTTTAATGCACAATGGTATTGATCCAGTTTTACTTTTTTATAAGTGGGCCCATGCATTTTAATAAAATTTCTGGAACCAGTATAAATTTTTTTTCTATTAAAAAAGCCTTCCGATAAACTAGTGAAGATGGCAAACCAGTTATCATTTTACTTGTACCTGATGCCAGTGGTGGTTATCATTGCACTGGTTTGGGTTAGACATCTAAAATATAAAATCAGGAGAAATCAAATTAATGTTTTTTTTTTTTTTTTCATGTTGTCTATTTTGGGTTACATTAAAACAATGTCCTGGCCTCAGCGCACTGGGAATTTTAGGTACGAGATAGAAGAGGCATGTAAGCCATAGCATAAATGCAGAATGTACCCAGTCAAGAGAAATTGGAATCAATTGAAGAAAAAAAAAAATAATAATTTTAAAACTTAACCTTTAGTGGTTTATAATTAAAATGTTCACTTTGATATATATCAATCTATAGCTCAATAATATCTTCACCATTATATAAAATCAGCAACTATAGTCAAAAGCCTAATAGCTTCTATGCTTGAAATAGTCCAGTTACCCACTCGCCATTAGGTCAAGTTGATAAATTGTTGTTACAACTTGAAAAGATCAAGTAAGTATTGTCTGAGAATAATGTGGATTCAGTGCAATCTACCAAAGTCTGATTATTTATTGAATAATCAATAAGTAATCAGACTTCGGTAGGGTGCACTGAATCCAAATTATTCTCTTTTCAAGTTGTAACAACAATTTATCAACTTGACCTAACGCCGGATGGGCAACAGGACTATTTCGAACATAGAAGCTATTAGGCTTTTGATTAAGGGGTGCCCTCAAAGGCACAGAACAGGGACCAACACTATGTATGTTTACCAATGCTAGAAAACCCTCCTTATTATCATCTATGGCAGCCTGACATTTACGTTCCACTCCTTATTGATAAAATCTGCACATTGATAAAATCTGCACCGCCATAATTGTATCAATGATTTAACTGCTATGTATACAGTTGCCAACACACAATGCATATCGTTACAGAAACATAGATCTTTTCTGAGATAGACTAAATTGAGAGTGTCTTGATAGGTTAATCGTGCACTATTTAATATATCAATTGCCTATTCCCCTAAGTTAAAAGGCTTGATAGCCACACAACGAGCCCCTTAGAACAGATTAGTAGCTCCAGCTACCGGGACTGAAGCCCTATCGGATTCACAAATCCACAGTGGTAAAAAAGTCCTTTATTAAAGGACCACTATAGGCACCCAGACCACTTCAGCTTAATGAAATGGTCTGGGTGCCTGGTCCAGCTAGGTTTAACCCTTTTTTCTATAAACATAGCAGTTTCATAGAAACTGTTATGTTTATAAATGGGTTAATCCAGCCTCTAGTGGCTGTCTCATTGACAGCTGCTAGAGGGCTTCCGCGCTTCTCACTGTGATTTTCACAGTGAGAAGACGCCAGCGTCCATAGGAAAGCATTGTGAATGCTTTCCTATGGACTGGCTGAATGCGTATGCAGCTCCTTCCGCACATTCGCATTCAGCCGAAGAGGCGGAGAGAAGGAGGAGAGCTCCCCTGGAGAAAGAGGTAAGTTTAACCCCTTCCTCCCCCCAGAGCCCGACGAGAGGGGGACCCTGAGGGTGGGGGCACCCTCAGGTCACTATAGTGCCAGGAAAACAAGTATGTTTTCCTGGCACTATAGTGGTCCTTTAAATCGAACAAAATGATGATTGAATTACCTACTTATAAATTGATTACATTTTAAGAGACAGCTAACTAAGGGTTAACTTTACTCCTTTCAATACAGTAATCCTTGGCTGCAAATTTATTTCTACATTTTATTAACTAAACCGCAACAGAAGGGTTAACACTATCAGATGTGCTTGAAAGTAAAGGGTTAATACAAGACTTCACCCATTCTAGTTGCTATTCCATATCCAAACAACTATAGTTGTTGATTTTATGTAATGGTGAAGATATATATCTCAAAGTAAACAATTTTATTATAAACCAGTAAAGGTTAAGTTTTAAAATCCCATTTTTTTTTTTCTTCAATTGATTCTAATACCACATTTGAAAGGTACTAAACAGTAACACTACATACTGGGAACACACCAAGAGTCTTGCCATTTTGGAGATATTCTGATCCAGAGATACTAACTGTTCACTTGCTGCCTAATATATTCCACCCCTTGACAGGTGCCATTGTAACAATATAATCAATTTTATTCACTTTACTCACCAGTGGTCTTAATGTTGTGGCTGATCAGTGTACTTTGTTAAAGGAGCAAGGCACCGTAACCACTTAATGACGTTCAACCTATCACTGTAATCCAAACTTGTACAAAATTGATCATGCAAATGTGGCAGTATGATTTGTGTGGCCTGTGCCATAGATACCTTGCAGATGCGTAATTTTGATCAAACCACTCAAATATTGTAGTAATTATGGTGCATAGACTACCCTTTTAACCAGTTGCCTGGGATTTGTCAAACCTCATAAACACCAAGGAGCTGGTTGAAACACAACATATGGGATCATTCTGGTGAGCACTCATCTTTTCCTTAGAAGTGAGGGTGCACCCTGGATCACTTTTCTTTTCATTTTTCATCACATGGTCTGGTATTGATCAGCAGCTTGGAGTGTGCAACTTTTTCTAATTTTGAAGTTGCCCAATATGACTTTTATCAAATTATCTTTTAGTGATTTACATATCTCCTTGCTTATCTTTGCTCTCTGGTGGCACCCATTTTATGCTGTCTTGGCTCGGTAGCACCAATTGTCTGCTAATACCTTGCACAATTTGAGATCTGAAACCATCCCAGGCTTCATTTTTTATATGCCCTATGCTTGCATATGTCACGATTTATAAACACAGCCTAGCTTTTTGATTACCTGCACAGGTTTTGATCAGATAAGCTGTGGTTTTGACCAAAGCAAGTTAATGTTGGCTGTCCTCCAAGAGCAAGGGTAAGCCTGAAGCTGCACTATGAAGAGGTATTTATTTATCAGGGTTATTCACTAAAGTGAGATCTTCTGGGAAATCAAAATAAAAGGGCAAATTAGGAGTACAATGAATTCTGTTTTCAGTTTGGCTGTTTTGGCTTTAAAAGAGCACTCACGTTAGAAATTCAAACAGGTATTTCTAATGTTGGATTGTCTCCTGCAAGTTTAGATCTCCCTGTCTCTCCGTAAACTTAAAGAAAATTACTTGCCATTTAGTACTTGCTGCACAGGTGTTACTGTAGTGACAATGATCTTAGCCGCACAGGTATCACTGTGTCTGCTGCTCAAGGACAAAGATCAGAACCAATAAACTACTGTTTCGCATGTGCAGCCAGTGCCACACTGTGCCAATCAATCTCTCCTCCAAGAAAAGCATTTGCTCAATTCATCTCTGAGGAGCATTCAGCATCTTGGTGCAGAGCGTGAAGACGCCGACCATCGATACTGGAAAGATTACATAAAAAGTGCAGCTATAGACTGTCTAATGTCAAGTTTTGCCAACCTGAATTCCATAACAAAGTTGAAATAATACCTACTTTATCTTTTGTATTTAATGAAAACTAGAGCGTTTTATAAAATAAAATGTAAAGAGATTCAGACAGCAGGACCTATATATAAGAAGATTTAGATGAAGTTTATTTTTGGTAACAGAGATGCTTTAAGAGTTAAGTTTCATACCAATATGTAATAAACCGGCAGTATGGGCTCACTGCTGCCACTGCACCTTTTACAACACACATGAAGCACCCATGTGACACCAGATAATGAGATTTCTGTTAAAATGTATCCTCACTAATATTAATTATGTGATAATGGTCATTGGACAGCAGTTTGTGTATTTTTATAAGACATGGCATTTAAATGTTTCTGGTTAAAAAGGATGAGGTGATCACACTGTTGTAGTAACAGAAAACACACTCTAACCTTGGCTGTTTTACTTGAAGAATAAAGTGTATGTTCTGCAGGTTTTGATGACAAACCAAGAAATGACATATGGCTTCACTCTTAAATAATGAACCGGTTAAGAAAACCGTTAATTGCGTATCATTGTTTATATGCTTCCAAAAAATTGCAGATCCATATCTAAAGAAATTGTGTCTTTATTTTAAAATGTAAAATAGTTTAAAGAATATTTTGAACATGTGAAAATGTATAAGCACTATTCTTATTATTTTCTCAGTAATGGCAGATACTTTCATTCATCTCTGCTGTCCACCCTGATTGGGATGTTTCTGAGAATTATCAAATACAATTTTCAGTATATTTTTTTTTTTTGATCTAGCTCAACATCAAGAGCAGTCTGCAATCTTCCTATGATTTGGATGAAACTTCAACTTTTGTGTGTTAGAGATTCTTTATTTTAATTTAAGTCCCCTACGATGTTGATCACAACTTCTCAGTTGATAATTATGTATGTGTAACTGCTGGTGATGATTCAATACCAATGATGATGTAATCTGAATCGCACCTTTCCACTTTTTTTTTTTTTTGTAAACATTTTTTTTGGCATTTTCAGTAGTAGTTTAGGGAACCTGTCACCACTCCCTTGCTGCAATCTCATTACAGAAGTGGGTTTTACACTTCTAAAGCACCTACCTCCGTTGCACCTCTCCTTTACCCGGTCTGAGCAGCATTCTGTTGTCTGAACAGAGGGACATGAGTCACTCCATTCCTAAACTCCCGAGCCAGCGCTAGTAGCACCGGCTAGGGAGTTACCATAACAACCACTGTGAATTTGCGGTGGTTGCTATGGCTGGTGAACAGAAGGATCTGTGGAGGTCTATTATTTTCACACTTCAGCATAATTCCAAACTACCTCTGGAAGCCACATAGCACAAGACTTGTGCATTGGGAGATTCATGAATTGGATTTCAATGGCTGAGCAGCTGTACACAAGCTTCACATCAACATGCACAATGCCAAGTGTTGCCTGGAGTGGTGTAAATTCATTGGACTCCGGAATCATGATTCAATATCTGGCAGACTGAATCTGGGTGTGATGGGTGCCAGGAGAATTCTACCGACTGTAATGCACAGTGTCTGTAAATTTTGATGAGTTTGATGAAGGAGTGTTATTGATCTGGGCTGTTTCTCCTGGTGTGGGTTGGTATTTTAGTTCCAGTGAGAGTTCTCTTTAGGCTAAAAGGAAATGATGTGCTCCCTTTAACTTTAATGACCAGTGATAAAATAAAGATGTCATAAAAAGCAAACCTTTAAAGATCCTACATTAATATGGACCCCCTGATTTAAACACGTCAGGACTGTATGAATCTGCAAATGCTAAATAAGCAGGAAATACTGTTTCAGCAAATGCTTATTAGAGATCAGAGTTTGATGACTGCATTAAATATTTCCCTGTCCTTAATATTAATGGAAAACTAAAGTGCTAGTAATACAAAACTGTATTCAACCATATTAGTACCCACTGTCACCACCTCTCCTGCCTTTTTTTTTTCATGCAGGCTCTGTCAATCATAGCCAGGGGAGGTGTGGCTAGGGCTGCATAAACAGAAACAAAGTGATTTAACTCCTAAATGACAGTGAATTGAGCAGTGAAATTGCAGGGGAATGATCTATACACTAAAACTGCTTTATTTAGCTAAAGTAATTTAGGTGACTATAGTGTTCCTTTAAGTATTGTTGTCAAGGCTTCTTTTCTCTGCCTCTCTCATATGCTGCTGCTGAGTGTTCATTATTGGAAATGGAATTGCCTCCCCCTTGTGGTCAATTATGGAAAAAACAACAATTGTCTATGCTCATTAGTATATCTGGATAAAACTCATTTTACATATCTGTTAGTAATAAAAGATAACAACAATGTTATATTGAGATTCTATTCAGTTAATGAGACCTCTACTGTCCTTTTAGATTGCAGTTAATGTATCTCCTACCTAGTTTGTAAGTGTGGTTAAACAGGTCCCTGTTCACATCTTATTTCTGTCAATATTACTTTGTATGTCAATACTGGTATATGCCCTCTGTATAATTTCAAATCACTGCCTAATAAGTTGATTCTATATAAACATTATTTATTTTATCCTCTGTATTTTTTCTCTATGCTGACTGCCAGGTGCAAAGGACAGAGCTTGTAATTATGATTGACAATGCCAAAATGGCTGTAAATTTCTACCTTTAATGTTCTTGTTCACATGTCACAAATACAAAGTTGTTAAACGTAGAGATAAGTAAACATTATGAATAACAATTGCGTGAAGAGACCGTTCCACTTTCATTGTCAATTTTGGGCTGTTTGATCCCTTTAATTTTCTGTATTGGAAGCTCAATGCTTACCTGCTCAATATTCATCTTTCGTACATTTCCTCCAAGTATTGGTATTGTTTGTATAGTGGAATAAAGAACTCTTTGCACCTGCAAGTCTTAAAGATTGCTTTTTATATTTTTGGCTGCTTCATGCAAGTGCCAGCTATCTCTCAACCATAATGTAACTGAATATGGGATACATATATTTTATTATATTTTAGCAGGGGTATGTTTAAGGAATTACGTAGAAATACAACTGCTTGGGGCCCAGTTATACCACGGGAGAGTCACCAAACTGTCTGCACTTCTTGTCCAACAGCCTCAGTCTATGTTATTATCTAAAGGGCTTGCACACGTACACTTGATAATATTTTCAGACTCCAGTTCTCTTTAAACATAATCCAGATTTTCTTTTTTGGTTTTACTTTGCAAATACATGTTTAAAACATTTTCCACCCCTGCCAATTCCCATCATTTTAAGAATGCTTTATTTTTGTTTCCTAATCAGGGCCTTTACTTTGTACTACAAATAATTTTAGTATGCAATGAACTAATACTACATCAGGGACATATTAGCCGCGAGGCAAACAAGGCATTTGCCTTGGGTGGCATTTTCCAGGGGGCGGCAAAAAACGCCGCCCCCAAATGCCCAGGGCAAATGCCTTGTTAGCATGGCGGCTAACAGTCCAGGCAGGTGGCAGCTAAGTACTAATCAGTGCGGGCGGTGCTGGCGAGGGAGCACTTTCCCCTGGGCTCTCTGCTCAGCTCCCTCGCGTGCCGCAGAGTGATGACGGTCACCTGGAGCCGGAATATTCCGGCAACCAGCATCACTCTGCGGCACGCTCAGGGGAAAGTGCTACCTCGCAAGCGCCGCCTGCCCAGCAGTCCAGCAGCCACTGGACCTCCCAGGGAAAGGGAGAACCCCACCCCCACCCCAGCATTTTTAAAGGTAAGGAGGCTGGGAGGGTTGAATTAAAAAAAAGTGAGTGTGTGTTAACGTGTGTGTGTGTTAGTGAGTGTGTGTGTTAGTGAGTATGTGTGTGTCTTTTAGTGAGTGTGTGTATGTCAGGGAGTGTGTCTGTTACGGAGTGTGTTACTATGTGTGTGTCAGTTAGTGAGAGTGTATGCGTGTCTGTTAGTGAATGTGTGTGTCTGCTAGTGATTGTATGTGTCTGTTAGTGAGTGTGTATGTCTGTTAGCTAGTGTATGTGTGTCTGTCAGTGAATGTGTGTGTATTTAGAAGGCGGGGCAGGGGGAAGGGTGGGGTGCTTACTTATATTCAAGTCTGCAGCTGCTGCCTCTGCTCCTCATCTGCCTGCTTGGCTGCCATCATCAGAAGTGATTCTCTGAGCCAATCATAATGCTTTCCCACAGGATTGGCTGACACTGTCAAGGAGGCAGATCAGGGAAAAAGCTAACACAAGCCAAACACAGCCCTGGTAAACCAGCATCTCCTAAAAAATGTGTGTTTTTGTGTCTGGAGATAATTGAGTTTAGTTCAGTTCATGACTCAATTATCTCACAGAGGAGGGATTAAACTATTATGCGTGGGAGTGTCCTGAATCTGAGAACCAATGTGATTGTGTATTTGTTTCTATTGTGGTTTACTCTCAGGTCCAGAGGGGATTGCCCCTTGCATGGGGACATGTATAAATGGTCAATTGCGGCTACCAATAAACAAGTTTCCTCTTCACTCTCAACATAGAGCCCCATCTCATGTGTGGAGGGGACAGCTGTATTCACTCTGGGGATTGCTATACATCACTATACTTCCCTGGGATTATAATCACTTGCTTTTTTAAGAGCATATTGCTATACTCTCTTGGAGGAGAGGTCTACCCACTGGAAGCTGGGTCTTGGGTCCAGGGTGGGTGGAGGACAGCGAGACCCCAACCAAGCTGTAACGCTGGAAGTGGGGACTATGGTGCTAATGGTGTCTGGTGGAGTGCTTGGAAGTACTTGGAGATACTAGGAAGCAGCGATTGACGGAGGCACCCAGTTGGGGTGTCAGGTGCTACGCCACCGACAGCATGATTATTGCAAAGGTGTGCCTTAGGCTGGTCACAATATGGCGTCATGTGGGTGAGCTGTTCGCTGATGTCAATGTTGTGAATCGAATGGCCCATGGTGGCGGTGGGGTTATGGTATGGGCAGGCGTATGTTATGGACAACGAACACAGGTGCATTTTATTGATGGCATTTTTAATGCACAGAGATACCGTGACAAGATCCTGAGGACCGTTGTTGTACCATTCATCCACGACCATCACCTCATGTTGCAGCATGATAATGCATGGCTCCATGTTGCAAGGATCTGTACACAATTCCTGGATGCGAAAACATCCCAGTTCTTGCATGGCCAACATACTCACCGGACATGTCACCCATTGAGCATATCTGGGATGCTCTGGATCGGCATATACGACAGCGTGTTCCAGGTCCTGCCAATATCCAGCAACTTCGCACAGCCATTGAAGAGGAGTGGATCAACATTCCACAGGCCACAATCAACAACCTGATCAATTCTATGCGAAGGAGATGTGTTGCACTTTGTGAGGCAAATGGTGGTCACATCAGATAATGACTGGTTTTCGGACCCACCCCCTGGATCTCCCCAATACAGTAAAACTGCACGTTTTAGAGTGGCTTTTTGTTGTGTCCAGCCTAATCATGCTGTCTAATCAGCATCTTGATAGTATATTGCGTTACACAGACCAGACCATGAGGCCTTAAATGTCCATCAGCCATGGCTCCTTTGCCTCAGCCAAAATGTATAGATATAGTGCTGAGGGGAGTGGGTATCACATTGTGGGGAGTGCTATCCCATACAGGTCTACCAGGAAAGAGGGGTGTCTCCATCAAGCCAGGGGTCCCATTTTTATGGAATTTGGGCTGTTAGCTTATCAATGTCTATACCTTTGGTGATTTTCCTCCTTAACGTTTGTAAGTAGGGTATTTTTGGGGAGTTCCACCATTCTGCAATATGCCCTGCGAGTGGCCAGGTTACCCTCACGGTCAGCTTTTTTTTTTTTGTCTGGTAAATGGTTAAATGGGTTTTGATAGTAAAAGGGCCCATAAGTCAAGTGGCAAAAGTCTGTTCAACAGTCTGGTTAATAGAGCTGTAATGCTTTTTCACAAGGAGAGTATTTTTGGGCAGGTCCACCAGCAATGAAAGACTGTACCAGCTTCAGCACAAGATTTCCAGTATAGATTATTCGGGAGTCGTTGCATTGTAGCCAGTCTTTGGGGGGGGTCAGGTACCAATGAAAAAGTATTTTATATGCCTGTTCGAGGTGGGAAACATAAACAGTGATTGAGGCTATGGAGAACCAAATGTCTGCCCAGTCTGTGGGGTTTTTCTGGGCGGCCTAGGTCTTTGTCCTATGTGGATATTTATGGTAAAAAGCGTTGAGATTGGTGGGTGGCTAAAGAGAGGTAGATATCCGTAATTTGTCCATTCCCAGAGCGGACTTTTAGACAATGTTTTTTGAAACTCGGTCAGTATGAAAGTCGCATCAAGTCGAATTGTCGCTGGTGATGGGAAACTTCTTAATTATATGAATCTGAAGAAGTCAAAGGTTGTGATGGAGATTGAGTTGGGTATATCTGAGAAATTAAGGAGTTTTCTGTTAGGGGATAGGTGTCCCAGGCACGATACATCTCTGTCCTCAAAGTTCCCGAAGTGTTGGATGTTATATATTTTTAAATATATTACAAGTCAGGGTCTAACGTCTAAATAAAACTGATCTTTAAAAACCAAACAAACAGTTTTGAAAGTTATGTTCCATGTCCTAAATTATACTAGTAATTTCTGATTAGTTCCATATGATTGAACAAAATCGGGCTGAGTTTGAAATAATTCAGAGTTGTGACTTTGATTAAAGATGTTCTAACGAAAAACTGATGAAAGCTTTGTTGAACTAGAAAGATAAGTGCCTATTTTGTTCATTAGTAGAACTCTTAACTTCAAAGTTCTACGGCCAAAAAGAAATAACATTTTCTATTGATGAAATTATAGAACACGGATCTCGAAAAGCTATTGAAATCTCTCCTGACTATACTATAGCATGAATCGTTTCATATCTGAACTTCGTTTCATGTTCCATTATATAAACAAAACTTTTGGTGTAGTGTAATTAAAGGGGTACAAACAATTATTCATATAAATCAACCGATGACTCAAATTCAAGCTCTTCCCTCCATTCTCTTTTGTTCCTGTAAACCATGTGGGCTAAGCAAATTATAGGCAAAAATTAGATCTCTTTCAATCTGGCTAATTTGCCTTAACATTTGCAATTCCCTTGTCAATTTTCTGCATTTCCTGGTCTAATAAATATAATCCCATATGGGATTATTTATCTAGAGAAAATAGCATTCAGGGCAGTGTTTGTTGATATTAATATGTCTGGATCACTTGGCTGCAAGTTATATGCTTATGTAATAAGTGTCAATTTGTGTTATTTCGTAATATTTTCTCAATAAAGTGTTCTTGAAAATATTTATATAAGTCATCAATGTGTGATGTCTGCACCAGTGATCGCTAACCTTTGGCACTCCAGGTGTTGTGTCCTCAGCCAGCTATTCGATATCATGGGAAACTTAGTCTATAACAGATGGTGTGGCAAAGGTTAACTTTCACTAGTCAACGCACATATGGACAATGACAGTGCCTGGTAAAGAATTCTTCTCAATATCTGTACTCAGATCATACAAACCAGGTGAAGGAATGCAGCAAACATCTTTGTTCCACATGATGATGCTTTTATGCCAGACTGGGAGTTTATAAACTGAGAATATGGTGAGACAAATAAACAGTCCTGGGTCCACAAAACATTGCATTGTTACAATAGGATACAATGTTACAAAATACAATATACAAACTATATATATACATACACACACATATATACATTTAATACACAAAAGGTAATAAATATATTTAACCATGACAGGTGCATTCTGTGCTGAGGTATATTGCCATAGATCTCTTAAAAGATTTTAGATTGAATGAAGATTTGCCTGTGTCCCTGAGGTTATTCCATAATTGCGGTGCTCTGTAGGAAAAGGAGGATCGAGCCGCTTTATTTCTGTATTGCGGTATGCTAAATATCG